GGGGGCGACGGACTTGTTGTTTGTCGTCTGCCCGCCTGCGCAGGAAGGCCGTGGATGCTGAAAGGGCGAGATAGGGCGAGACAAGACAAGGCCAGGTGGGCGTGTTTGGGCCTTGTGCTTTGCTCTTTGATTTTTGGTCTGCTGGACTGTTCTGGTCTGGCTGACTGGTTGATTGGCTGGGCGCAAATTGGTTGCAGCTGACGCGGTAAACATACCTACGCTCCGCCTTTACCACTGTCTCAACATGTCCTCCACCACTAACACTTCTTGCCATGACGACAATACCGCGATCGCCGCGGCATGAATAATTACGTATGACGACATTCGCATTAAGCGGTTGTTCGTACCAGAACAAAAGAACACGGACATAAAGTCTGCAAGTGCCCGCACCACAAACAGTGACAGAAAGAAAGAGTGTTGCAGTATACAGTTTACCACGGCGGTACCCAGAAGCTTCCTTTAAGCACAGTCATCGTCATTGCATCAGTAATTATTCATAGATACATTCCTATAAGTGAATATTTGCGTTGTGTATCGAGAGCAAACTCCTGAACCACTGTATTTTGGGCAGTAGGTGGACTTCAGTGACGACGTTTTCAGCGTGTATGCACAAGCCGGCGGCCTGGACATGGACAACATCAGCGAGCAGTGAAAGTGGTTTAGGAACTACAGCTTTCAACTATCTAAGTTTCAAAAGTCCGTCGTAAGTCTTTCCATTAAAAGCACAATCGACCGTTGCAAATGTGTTCCCTGAAAAGAAGTCCCCCAATTTAGACAGATTGGTCGAGTTTGGGTGCGCAAAGTAGGAGCATCCGTGAATGTTGGAAAGCCTCAGAACTCCATGATAGTGGTCGAGAGGATGGATCCTGAATACTGATTCCATACAGCAATTCTATACCTCACGAGATTGACATGCGAAGCTCCTAAAATATTGTCCCAAAAGACCGTTTGTGAGGTAAGGCCATTCGATCAAAGCACTATCCCCATGGCAGCCGGATGCACTTTAAAAAGTAAGTCAGTGAGCTCTCATTTTGGTTGTTGCAAATATGTGCAAGAGAGGATAGCTTACTTGAAGAAATGGCAGTACGCGCCGGGGTTGGCAACGGCATAGTGCAGTTCACCCACTATCCCTGGCTCAAGCTCGGTGCACTCATCGAAGGGTACAATGAACTTGAAGCATCCGTGAGCATTGTCAAGCTTGCTAGTCTCTTCACGGCAGACTTCGACCACAGCGCAGTACTTGTCGTGAGATTTGTGGGAGTCGGGGTCACCACAAGTGACATATGCGTACTCGTCCTTCTTGACAATGGCGTCAGATCGAGCCTTGGTCGTGGCCGGGAGTGTGTGGAGTGTGTAAGTAATGGTTGTCGTTTCGGAATAGTGAATGAAACTGGCGATAGCGGTAATGAGGGTCGTCGAACGAGCAGTGTCCCTGCATATGAAGCTCGACCACTTGTTTTTACCAAGACTACCCGTGTGGAAAGGCCAGTCGATCAGATTGCTATCTCCCTTGCAGCCATTATCACTTCATAGAGTCAGTGGGCTCTCCATTTGGATTTTTAGAGTGGGAAACATACTCATAAACCGTACAACGTGAACCGGGATAAGCAACGCCGTAGCTCATGCGATTATCCCAGTTGTGGGGCATGTCGATGCACGTGTCAAAATCAGAGACGATTATGTGACAGTCGTGAGCGTTGTCGATCTTGTTAGTCTGATCCTGGCAGAAGATAATGGTGGAGCAGGTATTGTCGTCACCCGCCCTACGGGGATCACAATCGCCACAAGTGATGACCGCGTCGAGGTAGTTGCTATCCTTCTTGGCAAGCTTGAGAGGGGAGGTAGGCACTGGAGGAGGCACCATCAAAGTGGAGATAGTTTGATACTGCTCGACTTGAGTGGGAGTTGTGCCATCGGCCCGCTTGCAACGGTAGCTCGACCAGCCGCGACCTTGACCGGTCGTGGGGAGAAGCCACTGGACCAAGGTGCTGGCGCCTTCACAATCGTCCTCCCTGCGAAAAGTAGGTCAGTTCTCTCATACTTGATGTATACCCAAAAGGAAACGGGACATACTCGTAGAAGTAGCAGTCGGCGCCGGGCCAGGCGACGCCGTAGTACATAAGGCCCTTCATAGGACTGGGAATACCAGAGCAGAGGTTCTCGAATCCGCCAACGTTGTAGTCGACGACGAATTGGTGGCAGTCATGGTTCTTGGTGTAGTCGAGATTGTCGGTCTCGTCCTTGCAGAGGATGAAGATAGCGCAGTGGTGCCAGTCCGGAATTTCCTGGCCGGGGGCAGTGCAAGTTGAAATTTTGTCCTGGGCAGAGACAACCAAAACCAGCTGAAGCAAGGCCAGTACCGCCAGAACAAGCACGTTGGGCTTGAACATCTTGACGATATTGAGGGTCGGGTGTCGATGCGCGCAATTGACGCGAAGGATTCGCGGAAGGCAGGAAGGTAGCGGTCGGTCAGCGGGCGCAGGGACGAGGAGGAAAAACAAAAGGCAGCGGGGGGTGGAAGGTACTTATATACGCGTCTTCAGGTAGCGACCGCTGGGTCCGAGCTTGTGACGTCGAGGGCGTGACTGCCTTTGCGTGTTTACGTGCTTACGGGTTACGTGGTTGGAAGCGGTGTGGTTACTGCCTTCTCGGTCGCTGCTGCTTTGGGAGTGAATGCTGGAGCGCGGCGGTTGCTTAACATTAGTTATGTCATGCTTGTTGGTAGGTTGGACCTTCACAAAAACTTAACGGTCAGTGTTATATTAGAGAAACTATTCTCCATCCTTCACTTTTATAGGTCTCGGATCGGTAAGGCGTCACTGACTATTAATAATGCTTCACAGAACCTTTTGCATTTGAAAACCCACGTCAGTGTAGGCAAAGGGCAAAAAGTGCTATAAAAAAACGCATTAGGTGTGACACCTCTTAGTTTGCGAAAAACTTATGTGAAAAGGGCAATATAAAGGAAGCGACCATGTCAACATTGTGATTGGCAAGAGACAGTTTGATAACTACGTTGGCAAATATTATAGCGCCGAAGTACGTGATAGGTGTAAATAGAGTATATGAATGAAGAATGGAAAAAGAAACAAAAAGAGACAAAAAAGAATTGACCCAAACAGGAATCAACTTGCAGTGGGATTTCCAAAAAGAGTAGGCAGCGGTTGAGGTGCAACACGCTCAAGGGTGCGTCACCCGATCAGCTCTGACCAGCGAACCAGTAAACCAGTAAGCCAGTAGAACGGGAGGATATGCTTTCAACGGCTGCTCTGCAAATCAAACAGAATCCCGGCCTTATATACTAATATTTATACTAAGTATTTCCAGGTAACCAGTCAAGACCCGCCATTTCTCATCAAAGGCCTTTCTTTCGTTGTCAAGTGTCGCAAGCATGTCAATTGAGTATTTCCTCGGTTCACCACATAGTAACCTCACTTTTATTGTCAAAAGGCACATACCAAACTTTCTAAACGTCAAGTATCGCAAACATCTCCCACAAGCCGTACCGCACTCAAAGAAACCCAAACCCCAAAGCGACGAGACTATCAAACCACCTCCCCCACAACATCAACACGAGCCATACAATCCCCTACCATCCCAAAAAAAGACGGCCTTAACCAAAGCGGCAAGTCCAAAAATAGCAAACGTTGGACGTCTGGGACTTGCATCGACGATTAGATAGCATCAAAAGAGGGTCCGGCTTCGAAGCGAAGTTTTCGCGAGATTTTAATGGGTCAGGGTCCGCGGGCGTGGGTACGAGGGGGAGGGAGGTGGAGTAGGGTGAGAAGACGAGAAGGCCCTCACAGGATTTGGAGGGCTTGGAAAGGGAGAGAGAGAGAAGTGGCGGGTCTGTGTCCGGTGTGACGGAAGGGAGGAGATGGAGGGACGGTTCTTGAGGGAGGCATGAGAATAGCAGTTTACCGCAATGGACGAGTGAGTACGGTCCTGCCTTGGCAGAATCCCAAGCTCTAGGTACGTCTGTCTTGTCCACCATCCGTGCTTCCAACAACCCACATACAAGACAACCACTAGACATGGGCCGGATCCAACCTCGATCCACACAGCAGAAGCCCTTACATAGCCCACGATCTCGGCCACGGCCTCTCTCGCCGACCTATCTACCACCGCCACGTCTCTCCGCAGCACCCAAGCCCACAACCACATTTCCCTACCTGCGCTTCGCCTCAGCAAAACCTTACCAGCCACGCAGCAGCACAGCGCGCGCGAAACCTGCGACCTTCACCCGCGTAGCCGTCGGACGCGGCCAAGGCCACGGCTGCACACGCGCCCAACTCACGTCCCGTACATATGTACGTACACACTCAGGCGTATGTGCCTCGATAAGCTAGCCGGCTAGCCCGCGCGTCTCGTCTCGAGTCTGAGACCCTTATTTTCGCGTGCATAGGGCTAGCGTGTGGCGCGCGGCCGGGCTTTGCTGCAGATAGTCTGCCGACATGTGCGTCGAGGTGGGGATTTGGCATACCACTGCGAGAACGTGCACCCACGCTGAAGTGAGGGGTACGCTAAGTATGTAGGCTAGCTCTGCGGACTAAAAGGGCTGGATCTTGATTGGGCGACCTTGGGAACGTGTTAGCGACTGCGGCCGTGGTCGGATGTTTTGGGGGAGATGACTAGTTGCGGGCCACGAGGTGGAGTGTCAGAAGACTGGTTGTGGTTTGCGATAGGAAGACGGTGTCGAGGGAAGGTGTCAGACAGGCTATCCATTGTCGAGGCGAAGAACTGTTTGTATTCATAGTGCTTGTTATACAAGTCAAAGCCACAACATTGACACACTGGCTGCGCGTGTTACCGACTTCCTTCGCTGTCGCGTGTATCACAAGTCGCAGCAAGAAGCCCCAAAATCACGCCTTGAAGGGCCTGTCCTTGTCCGAATCTTCATAGCATGTAGCAACCTACAGGCAATATGGGTACTCAGAACTGCTGAGCTCCATACGGGTAGCTGCTACGGCCTTGTAAGAAACCTCCATGATTCTTACCTCCCCGTCCGCCTCTGCCCCGCTCTCCTCCGCCTCTGTATCCGCGCTGTCCATAAGCTCCACATTGTGACGGATATGCGTTTCCGGAGCCTTTGTTTTGGGGGCAGATGCGATAGAGGTGGAGAAGGAGACGGGAGAGCCTTAAAGACTGTAAGCGCGGCGGTGTCCCGTCGTGGTGTTGTTGGTGATGACGGGTGGAGGTCCTGACGGGAGGTAGAGCGCAAGGCGGCATGATGAAATTTGCCAAGCCGCTAGGCGGTCAGCAAAGTACTGCCGGCAAATGGGTACTTTCCCGCGGCGCAGTTCCAACCCTGGACTTCCATCATTCTTCAGTCACCAACCTCAATGATGATGGCGTTCCTGTGAGCGTCGTTTCTTCTTTCATCTCAACCCGCTGAAGTGCTTGAAGCTGGTACACGTTTCGTCTCACAGCTGTTTTCCTGACGGTATGCAACCCAAATACAGCGGCCTTTATCTTATCTGACCATCCCTGTAGACCACACCGGAATTGGCTCATATCAGGATCAATAAGCTATTTAAAGTCGAGTATAAGCAAGCTATTGAAGATGCTACCTGAAATAGGGCATCAGTGTAATGCACTGGACCCCATCCTATGAAATGCTAGAACGAGTGACCAGGCATAACAAGTAAGTGCTAAATTATTTGAAATCATTGACGCCATCGGTCAGGGATGTGCAACGGCTGTACAGGGTCCAACATCATTGTCATCCTGATGGCCCTAGTTTGTTTGGGAAAAGCGTATATGTAACCCGAGACATCATCCTAACACTCTTCATTCTGGAACCATTCTGAAGTACAGTAAGTGGCTGTGAACATTCATCCAGCTATCTCATTAGAGAGTCGTTGTCTTCCCCAGCACAATTTCTTCCTTTTGGATGCAGGTTTCTTGCAGAATTCTACGGAACGTATCAAGCTACGATACCAGAGACGCAGTCGGCACGGCTACAAATGCCCTGAGCTCGGTTGCACCAAATCACATGTTCCGGCGGTCGCTCCGATCGGTTCACAACGTCACTCCTAGTCTGGAAGGCGCTTTTCTCCCGTATAGATCGAACACGGATTGCGGATATGACGCTCTCTGTAGTGCTACATCTTTGAATCTCATTTGTTAACTACCTCCAGCCACTAGCATTCTGTGCAAACATGATCCGGATTATGGGGAAGATCAGGTCACTATGCGAGGTCAACCCTCTAGCAAACAGATGGAGAAAAAAGGAAAGGCGCTCGGCCACTCGGCTCCAGAATCCAAGCTACTCGATCAAGAGAAAGAAGATATAGGCAACTTTTGCAAACAGCGTAACTCCAGCATCACCCAGAAAGAAGAGCAACCCTGCGCCTGGAAATGCCACACATGCGGCCAAAGCAAACTTTTGGACCGATCCATGCGCCCCCGGAAGCCCGTCAAACTCCAGATTACAGAAGTCAGGCGATTGTCGCACCAATGGGTGCAAGAACATGCGCAGAAGATACAGTCATCTAGAAAAGCACTACTAGTCAGAAACCAGCACTTGACAAATGCAGAGTACAACCTACTCAGACGCTGGTCTCAGTTCACGGGAGTACCGCACTGAGGGCAGCACTTTCCAGGAATGACCCAGACAGTCTCTCCCTTGGCAAGACAAGCTGGGCACTTCCTACCGGGAACCTTTTGGGAAGGATCAGCAACCGCAGCGTCATCAGTTGCAAAATCAAAGCCACTTACCGGAAGCATCACCATGGGAACGCTGCCTCCTCTCTCCGGCTCGGCGTGAGCGTACTCTTCTCCGGGCATGAGCGGTGGCAGCTGCTCGATCCCAAGGCGCTCCAAGATCTCCTGGCGGCGGACGTTGTTGGTGAAGTTGTTGAGAGACATGGTGGGTGTAGGGTTGCTGGTGGAAGCACTGGCGGTGGTGGTAGTGTTGGTGGAGGAGCTCGCCTGAGTGCTGCTGGTGTCTGCGGTAGGCTTAGGTTTCTCGGAAGGAGCCACGGTATGAACTTGAGAAGTTTATGTTGAAGTTGAAGAGATGATGATCTGACTGATAGAGATGAAGCCATAGAGGACAACCGACGATACTTATACTTCGACCACGGGAGTATCACCGCCTCAATTCTTTGTGAGAACACAAGAAGCTCAACCGTGCACATCACGCTCCACAAACTAACTCATTGAGATGTGTGCTCACATCCACAAGCATCTCAGATGTTTTTTCCACACGGCATCATGATGCATGGGTCGGGCCGTCGTTGCACATTGAGTCCAGATACTTGGAAGCCAATAACCGCAGTCGTATCCGACCAGGGCGTCCGTTCCTGGGGAACATGTGTAGCTCGGAGCAGTTGCAACACCCGAGCAGCTGCCGCGGATTCTTGCATTGGGCTGCTTGGTCATTTTCTTTTGGTCGACGCCTTCGCGTGGTCTGGGTCTTCAAGGAGCTCAACGGAGTAGGTCCGCGAAGCCAATGACAAATTTGGACCCACTGCATGTCAAGAGCCTCCCGCCCAAGCAACAGGGAAAAGGCTGACAGAGAGATTGGAGAGCGCTAGCAAGGATGCAGGGGCCAGGGACGGCCCATCTACACCAGATTTTGCTTTTAGCTCGTCTGTCGTGATCCCAGAACCTAAGCGTCGGGAGATGGCGTCCCTCGACGTCCCTAATGAGCTACTCTCAACGGCACCCGCATATAATCGAGGGCAATTGCAGGGCATACATCCAATTCATATCACCTGACCAGGCCCAAGGCCATTTCCGCGACGGCGACGCGCAGGCAGGACGCTGAAGGTGCTTTGGCACGATGTACTCGAGTACTGGTCACATTCTGATTACGGCACTAGTGACGTACCCACCAGATCCGTTTGTTTTAGGTTCACCTTCGCCTTCCAGCAGTCGTGCCCCCAGGGGCGCTACTTTAGCCCAGCGGCCGGCTCGATTTCCGGGCAAGGTGTGGTTTATATGAGCTATCGCATGTTGGTCAACGAGGCTGTGGTTGCGCGGATCAGCGCCACACACAAAATAATAACTCGGTTCGCTTGCGCTACGCACATCCGAGCCGTGACGGACTACATACCTCTTCCTTTTACTCTCTCACGAGGACGACTTTGGCTCTCGAAGACGTCTGCGAGCAGCAGCACACGGCTGACGCGGAGCGGACCTCGGGTTGCCGGAAACAGCACCGACCTGCAAAGCAATATTAGAGGGCGACGCATCCAAGAGCCACGGATTCATCATGGTTGTCGACGTGATACCTGAACACAACGGCGAGCCATCCTTGCACCGGCCTACATGTCGCAGGACACCGCCGCTTCGTCCCGGAGGGAGGGCGTCTCTCTCGAGGGCGGCCGTTCGGCTGGGAGGGCCCGTCGTTCCACCTTGACCGACCAACAGAGAGTGGCCGTCTGCGATATCGGCAAATGCAAAACACAGAAGCAAAAAGTAGATACCAGGCCCCGCGTGGTACAAGGTCCTGTCCCGTTGAAAAGGATGCAGCGGAAGCGGCGTTGACGCCCGGCCACGCAATCGCCCGCAGGTCGAGGCTCGAGGATGGGTCGAATAGGCGCCGGCAGACAGATCTCACCGCTCTTACTTAACCCAGCGTCTTGTACGCCAACTGTGGCTGCGCGTGGGCTTTGTATGTAACGGCGTCTAGAGCAAGCAGCAGCAAAGCAAGCATTTCGGAAATCCCTGGCCGTTGGAAACGAAACACAGCCGCCCACCCCCAGTCGCCTCGGCCGGCCGTGAGACCCGCCACGCGGCGCTGCCGCCACGATCCCGCAACGGACGTGCATAAAGATCTGCTTTTTTTTCCCCCTCCGCCCTGGCCCTATCTCCCTCCCCGGGCGGGCCGTTTTACGAACCAGGGAGGTGAGGCGATTGGGGAAGCGCGGAAGAGCGCCGGCGCGCGTGGCCCGTCGCCGCCGGCACATCAATCACGTCGTGGGTAAGCATGAGGCCCGCTTTTGTCAGTCGCGCCCTGCGACCCGGAACCCGGCGCAAGACGTTAGGTACGAGCCCTACTACCATCAACACCGTCATCATCATCAATGTCTCGCGCGCTCAACAAGGGAGATGAACGGAAGGGGAATGGCCAAGGGAAGGAACGGACCCGACGGGGAAGCGGTGGCGCGGAACCGGTCCAACTCGACCAAACAGTTCCCTCAGTCGCCTTTCCGGATCTTAGACGCCTTTGAGGCCGGTGTGTGGCCGGGGTGCGGACCTGGGCGACGGGCCCTCGCGTACGACAGCGACAGCGACCAGCGAGGCACAAGCGACGGCTGCCGCTCCATGTCGCACAACTACTATCAGGCATGCCTGGCCTGTGGTGGCCCGGTTACGTCCCTCCTTCGGAGCGTTTACCGGCGGCCGCAACATATCGCTTCGCAATTCGCTCGTAGCTCGTCATCTCGCGACGCTTCTTGTGGACGACCGGAGATCGCTGCCCGCTCTGGGTCGCTCGCTGGCTACGCAAGATCGATAGCGCCATGAGCGACTTGCTGCTTTGGGCGCTTGCTGCTCGGATGCTTGCCGTCGAACTGCCTAAGGACCCTGGATTCTTTCTCTTTCTTTCTTTTCTTTTCTTTTTATTTCTCAATCTCTTGTTTATTTGTTCGTGATGATGATAATGATGCTAATGATGATGTTGGTGATGATGATCATGAACGTCGGTTTTGTTGTTGTCTGCTTTTTCTCCTCACCGCATCCTCGACCTCTCTATGCCGCACATACTAACCAACTAGACCAGCACGCAAGCAAGAAAGCAAACAAGCAAGCACGCACGCCAACGATAGCTAACCCACCCATTCAATCTCTAGCCATTCACAGCCGCCCAAACAGCACAGCGAAAAAATAAAAAAAGAAGAAAAACAACAACCCCTCACCTCCCTTCCCCCCGAAAAAGGAACACCCACACCGCAACATGTGGCCGGCGCCGCCACCGCAATCCAGCGCAGCAGTAGCAGCAGCAACAACAGTAGCAGCAGGAGCAGCCCATGGTCTCACACGCCCGCCGCCCCGGGAGCCCTGCGTAGCCTCGCATCCGGCAGCCCAATTCCCACGCTCGGGTGCCACCCGAACTCCACAATTGCACTCGCACAGCACGCCCGGCGCCTGTTGCCTACTCACCGCCTGCGGCTTACCGCTCGTCTGTCGACGGTGGGAGAGGCGGTCGAGAGAGGGAGAGAGAGGGAGAGGGAGAGGCAGACGTGCTTGCTGGAGGCGGTGCTGGTGCTGTTGCGTGCGTGCGTAGTTACTGCTGCTGCTGCTGCTGCTACTGCATCTACCCTCTTACCCGTCTGGACGGACGGGCATAGCCGCGCTCACGGCTCACGGCTCGTTGTGCTGGTGGGAGGGTGCTGGTAGGGCAGCAGGTAAGCACAGGCACACACAGACACACATAGCCACACACAAGGCACAGGCACAGGAACACACAGGCACAGTCATAGACAGTCAGTCAGGGTAGGAGGTAAGGAAGGCGTCATAACGGCGGCGTCATAACAATATCACAGGCCCCGGCCGTCTTAGGAGGCGCCTCCGCTTCCGATTCCGATTCCGCATTTGCTCTTTGCCTTGCCCTTTCCTTCCCTTTGCTTTCCTTTCCTTTGCTTTCCTTTTTCTTTCCAGAGCCCTTTATGTCACGCGACCGCCGCCGCTGTTGCTGTTGTTGTTATTAGGTACTGCTGTTGCTGCGAAGGCAATGCACTCACTCACTCACTCACTCACTCACTCACTCGCCGTAACGGCGCAAACAAACCCCAAGACACCCCGTTCCGTAGTTACTTGACAAACATAGACCCCTAAAACAAGCAAGCAAGCAAGCAAGCAAGCAAGCAAACAGCCCCAAAGCGCACCACTCCCCCAAACAGCCCACTGCAACCATCCACGCACGCACGCACTTAACCCATCATCATTACCCTCCCCTTACGCTTCCCTTACCAATCCCTACCCCAACCCCAAACCCACCCACCCCGCACAGCGCACCGTGCAACGCCAGGCCGTCGCTGTCGCCACCCTTCCGCCGCAACGGGCGGAAACAGACAGACAGGCAAGCGGGCGGCCTGATCCGGCGTTCGCGGCGCGGGTGCGTGCAGCTAGGTGATGCTGGTGGCGAAAGGGGAGGAGAGGGGCTCTAGGTAATGAGGGAGGCGAGGGGTCTGGATGTGTGTGCGTGCGCGTGCGTGGGCTGTTTTGGGGTGAGTGGCGGTGTGGTACGCGAGGGAGACGGACGGGTGCGACTGGGGCCTATAGGGTTTGGGTTGATTGATAACGGGGCTTAGGACGGGTTTCTTTGGGTATGGGTTTGGAGCTTGCTGATGTGTGGTGGTGAGGACATGTAGGTTTGATGATGTGATGTCTACACATCTAGGTGTGCTATGCAGGAATGGAACGAGGAAGTATTTGTTTCGCTTTGGTTTGTTTTAATCTATAGGGCAGGAAGAAACAATATCATGCCTGCCTATCAACACATGCATAAACAATAAAAGAAACACCATTTCTCTCTCTGCGGTCTCCATGTATGCTAACAATCAAGATGCACGCTACTAACCACAACTCAGCTCATTCTAGTCTCATCAACACCTCAACCAGACGCATCGATGCTTGCTCTGTTAGCTATGAATAATGCGAGTGCGTGCCCGTTTATTTATCCCCCTCGAAGCTCAGCACGTCCAGCTCCTCGCCTAGCTCGTCACCTATGTCCAGCTGCGGGATCTGTGGTGGCTGCGTGGACACGCGCGTCGGCTGGGGGCGCTGCGGTGGCTGTTCCTGCTGCTGAACCTGCTGAGGCTGCTGAGGCTGTTGAGGCTGTTGAGGCTGAGATTCCAGCTTCTGCGGCACAGGCTGCGGCTCCGGCTGCGAGACCCATTGCTGCTCTATCGTCAGCGGCTCCGGCTGCGGAACCGGTTGCTGCACGGCCTGTTCCTGGACTGGCTGGACCTTCGGCACCTCCACTGGCGACTGCTGCGCCTTCGGCGCCTCCGGCGGCGGCTGCTGCAATTCCTTCGGCAGTTGCGGCTCCACCTGCTTCTCCTTCAGCGCCTCTTTCTGCTCCCCTCTCTCCAGCTCCGGCACGCCCTTCACCGGCGGCCTTGCCTGCATCGCCAGCTTCGGCACATGTGCCACCCCCTTCTCCGGTACGAAGCGCTTCGTGATGCGCACCAGCAGCACGCCCTTGGACTGCACGCCGTTGGCGTCGAAGAGGTGGATCATGCGGAAGCCGGTTGCTAGTCTGTCGAGTCGGAAGCAGGCCCATGCTGCAAGGTCATCTCTGCCGAATTCGTCGTCCATGACTTTGAATCTGAGGAGTGTTAGTTATGAGCAAGGTAGTGGTGAGTATGCACGTGGGTGAGGATGCAGGGTAGATGTGAGCAAGCAAGCACAAGCACGTGCCTAGGCACTCTCCTGAAGAAAGCCCTCGCACAACCCCAACCGGCGTACCCAGGATACCACCCTGTCCAAAACAGCACCGCCAAGGCGGCAGTGACCGAGGCGGCGGACGGGCAAATACAGTGCTGCCCCCAGAAAGCTTCTTCATGACTTCTCCGTGACGAACTTCTGAGGGCACAGTGGCGCGTCGACGAAACTCTTGTGCTGCCACACGCTGCCGGAGTCCGACGAAGCCTCAGAGCACGGCAGCAAGAGCTGCTGCAACAAACGACGGGTCGGACCGGCACGTCTGCCAATGAGCGCGTGCGGCTGGAGCCGATATGCGGGCAGCCGCGAGCGTGCTGGCTACACCACTATCCTCGGGGCGCAGAGCCGAGCGAAGCATTTGCTGTTGGGCAGAAAGGCACGGGAAGGAACGGAACGGAAAGAAATGTGGAGTGCACAAAGAAGAAAAGAGAGAAAAGACTCACCGCACAAAAGTCAACTGCGCCGCCACGCCCGTCAAGCCGCGGAAACTCAGCAACTCGCGCTCGAAATCCGGGTCCACACCCTTCGACGTCTTCGTCTTGCGCTTAATCTCGCCCTCCTTGCTCTTTCCACCACCAGGAACATACTCACCACCCCTCTCCTCTGGCTTTTCAATATGCAGCTCGCACTTGACGTACGGCTGGAAGCCCTTGGCATTGTCCTCACCCAGCGGAAGCGGGATATCCTGGCCGGCGAGGACTTCAATGTCCAGGTCGAGCGTGCCGTACGTGTTCGCGTGGTAATTGCGCGTGGCTGGGGACTCGCTACGGTAGCCTTCGGGCTTAAGCACCCAGCCTGCCGTCCCTGCGAACATGCCTTCATTGAGCATCATGCCTTCGTCCCACTTTTGCCAGTTGAGAGCGACGACTTGCACGCCTTGTCGCCAGAAGACGGCAGGGTCGAGGTTTGAAGACCGCAGACGCGTGCCTTTAGGGTAAGCGCGCATGAGGTATTTCTGTGCTTGTGAGTTTGATGCAGTAAGCGATTGTCAAGATGCTGCATACCTTGTTGTGAGAGAACAACGCATCCGGGTACCGTTCATGCACTTCCATCAGCGTCCCCTCTGACAAGGAGAAAATGTGAGTCGGGATTTGGGCCTCTGAACAATAATTAGTTTCGAATCAGGATATCGGAGCAAAGTCATGCTAACCCGGCTGGTCAAAGCTCTTGAAGTGACAGCTTCTGGTGTAAATTCCAAGCTCGCTGAGCTTGTCTGCAATTTTTTTCTTTGGCTGCTTTGGCTCCGCAGCCGCTTCATCATCCGAGCTCGAAGACGAAGAGCTCGAGGTGTCAGGAGGAATCTCCGGTTGCCTACGAAGAGACCTCTTCTCAGGGGCGGGGGTCGGGGCCTTCGGAGGAGAGTATTTGACTTTGATCAGAATCTTGCCTATGAGCTTTGATAGAGGAGGCAGGATCATCTTTGATGGATCCTCTATCATATGCGCAGGAGGGCGCTCCAAGAGCATGCCTGCCCAGCATTCGCGCATGATGTCAGCCATGACTTCCTGTTGGTCCAAGGATGTGTGGACCTCAAGGCTGACGATAAGAGGAAGGTCGCTGTGCGTAATCAGCCAACGACACTCATAATCTTACACATTGTACTAACGAAGTAGCAAAAGCATATTTACGGACCGTCTCACAGACAGCTCTGAACGAGATTTCTTTGGTCGCGGTGTATCCTTGCGAAAATCTGATGTTAGTACTGTCAAGATAGGCAATTTTCTGCAGCAATTACCGTGGAAAACTCTAGGTTCCGGCCGGCCGGAAATAGTTCTAGTCGGCTTCGGCATGTCGTCTTCGGCCGTGCTGGGGCGCGAGGGCTGCGACTTCGCTTGGACAGTTGCCTTGGGTTCCGGCTCGTCGGGAGCTCGTGACTTTTTCATCCCCAATTTAGCCTTAAGGCGCGAACCCAGGCTCTTAGTCTGTCCCTCCTCATCCTCGTCGCTGCTGCTGGGAGCCGAAGGAACGTCGCCATCCCAGACGTCGATCTCCACGCATCTGCAGCCTCGCAGCAAGACCTAGATGATATCAGCAATAGCCCGGGGTATAAGAGGCGTCATAAAAACTCGGATTGTTTACGTTTTTGTAGGCGTCCGTGCTGGAATTGCTGTAGAGCTGGTTCCCCGTCAAATAGGTGTTGTGGCTGGAGGAGATGAAGTAATTGGAGATGGGAAAGCTGAGATCCAGGTCCCCGGGACGGGACATAGCATTGGCATGGTGGGACTGAAAGTAACGCCTGAGATGCTCATGTGTCCAGACCCCGTCTTCGCCGACAGGGATGGTATCGGGAGCATGTGATTGCTCCTTTGAGAAGAAGCCTTGTCGTCCATCTTTTGTGGAGACATGGAACTCGTCCTCGAGCTCTCTCCACAGCTTCGAAATGTGGCCGTCTAGCTTGGGGTTCACTTTATCGACGACAAGCGAATCCTTGTCGCTGTAGCTTGCGGTCCCGCCGCCAGCTTGTGTCTCGGCGTGGCTAGGGGCTTGCACCGGTGGATCGGACTTTGGGTCGGCCGCTAGGTCGGGCCTTGGGGCAGTGTTCACCTCAGCCATGGTGGATTTGCGTGGTGTAGAAGAATCGGAGGATTGTAGGTGTGGTGAGCGGGGCACACTCGCTTCAACAATAGCTGGAGCTGTCGAGAGAGCGGGCACGTGGACTCTTAGGAGTGGTGTCGGAGGTAGTGCATCACGAGTCAGAAATCTCGGTTCTAGACGCGAGTTGGACAGATTTAAGAATCGCTCAGTTTCAGCGGAAGTGATGACGACCACTTGCGGGCGATGGACTGGGTCGCTTCACACAGCTGCCGATCTTGGCAGCGCTATCGAGCTACCCCTCCTTCTCCCTCTGACGCCTCCCATCCTGTCAGCTGTTCGTGGGAACAATAGCATTCTTTGCCCAGCCATGTGAGAAGCGTGGCATTCTGTGATAAGAGACGACCCATTCGGCAACTCGGCAGTGGTAAGCCATGCATCCTGGCATCTAGCGACGTCATAAGGGTCCCGGTCGACTTCTTGCGCCCTCTCACCCCTCACTTTGGCAGCAGCAAATAGACCGTCCACCCACAACGCACCATGGCTAAATCACAGAGAGAAGCCGAGCAAGAGGTTCACTCTTGGGGGTTTCAGGATGTTTTTACCTGGACCGACGGACCGTAAGTGCGACTCTCCCTTGGTTTTGGCTGCGCCTAACAATCCCAGGAATGCCCACTACTCGCCCCACTCGCACCGAGGACTCACCACACATCTGATACTAAGAGGCGAGCTTACCATCACGTATCCAAAAGACAAGTCGCCCACAAAAGAGACATTCGGCCCAGGTGCTCGCCTTGACGTCGATGCCGGCCGGCAACATGAGGTCTGGATTGGAAGTGAAGGCTGCACATATGTTATTGGCGAGTAGTAGCTCGATATGAAGCATACGTTCATAATGGATCCTTATTAGCGAACACTTGCAATTGCCCGCACCGGTTCTGTTTGCGTGGTGTGAACTTAATGCCAGTTTTCTACTCCATGTACAAGCGCTATTATATTGCTTAACGGTGATGGATGTTGGGTTTCTTTTTTGTTGCACCTCATGCATCAACTATCCATCCATCAAGGCAAGAAAGACAGTAGAACACGCACGTCTTCATTATAGGTAGCATTGCTTCTCCAGGATGTAAAGGATCGCATGATCCTGGGGGGATGCAAGTGGTGTTTCGCGCCAGTCCTAGATAGAGCTTGATCTATCCGAAAAGTCAAGTCCAGTGTACACAACAGCGAAAGGATCATCCTCCGGAGAAGAAATCTGCTAATGTTATTGGCAGCGTAAGAGTCATTCAATATCCCGCACAATATAGCGCGCGCGTCGAAAAGCACGACCACGGCAAGATGCAACATTGGCAACTGCTGGGCCGTGGCTGTCTTGTACATCACGCAGGCCGGGGGCCTCAAATATGCGCCTTGTGTTGCAGCAGACGCCGTAGATACTCTTGGAGTCTCAGGTGCAGCATCCCTCATGCGCCCCTTTTCATGTTCGGTCGACGCGGCTGGGAGCATGGCATGTCGTGGCCAGCAAGCGTTGAGGCTCTGCTGGCGAACGCAAAGACTTGCCCCGAACTGCTTGGCGCCCGTTGAAACGATGAATTTAACATTCGTTTGGTGCGTGGGAGCGGGAAGTTCGGCGGCTGTGATGCATAACCCCTGGCTCTAACGCGTGGTTTCAGCCCGCAGCTCGTTGCCCTGTCGATCTTTACGGTTACGCTGAAATCATAAACGCCTGTATGTTAACTATGCATGTTCTGGGTAAATATCGTGCAACAAGTCGTAGTGTCTCATTTGGCAGGCACGAGGCAGCTACCTAGTTGTTGGCCAGAAATCGTCGACGAGCAGCTTTGCAAAGGAGTAAAAGGTCGTCAGACGTAGCGGTGACGTATAAGACTGGCACTGCCAGGACAAGGAGCAATAGGGCGTAGCAATCTCCAGCAGGACTTCCGACTGCCGGATTTCTTTTTGATCGTGCGACTATTCGGACATTCCCTGTGGATAATTGTGTCTGAATTGTTTGGAATTATTGCTCCGAAGGCAAGAAGGTAAAACGGCCAACGATGGCGGATGTCCTGGTCATTGCGTGCCGGCCAATTTCGGAGTATCGAGCAGCGTTGCAGACGCAAACGTCGAAAAATGCTGTTGAAAAAAGCATTGGAGCGTTCCTGACGGCCATGAAAAGCTCCAGACTGGCTCTTGCGAGGGTCATGCAGATTGTTTTGCCCGAAAGCAGCAGCTTGAAGAGCAGAGGGCGAGGAGAGCGGTGCCGAAAGAGGTTAGCGCGCACTGCTCACCTAAGTATCGAAACTTGCGACCGGACCAAGGATCCTTCCACCGTTACGAACGCCCCTGACTCGTCCCCGCGGCATCCAGCAACGCATCAACCGTTTTCGGGAGCCTTACAGGCCTAGACCAATGAGAATGCCGTTCTCGACGCCCGTCAAACGAGTCCAGCGTGTCGGTATGTTTACTGCCTTACCCTAGCCTAGCGTCACTCCAATCTCCCTCCTCGACCCTACGTAGCATTCCTTGGACTCGTGCTCCGTCACTTACGACTCGCGGCTCATAGATGCGCCCGCTGGCGACTCGAACCCTTACGTCCTGCCCGCCATCGTCTGTGGTATGAATGGTGTCGGAAATCACGGCTTGGAGGATGAACAAGCGCCTACCGTCTCTGTTCTCACCATGCCCACCACCCGCAATGGCGCCTCGCAGCCTTCGAGCCCCCCACCCTCATCGCCGCTGAACGATACCACGAATGGCCTGTCGCCTTTTGCCAACCCGTCGAAGCCGACCGGCAAGGTCATCGAACGTCTAACGACGACCAACGAACGCCTCACCCGCGAACTCCACGCCGAGAAGGCAAAGACCCAAAGCCAGACCGAAGAACTCCGCGCGAAGCTACGCGTCATCGAACACCTCAATGCCGACAAGGAAACGCTGCAGTCGCAAGTCGACTCCCACGAGCGCCGCAAGAACGATTGGAAGGAGATCGAGAGATCGCTCACATCTCAGCTCCACGCTGAGCAGGAACGTAGAAAGAAGGCTGAGGGTCAGGTGACCGGCATGGGCATCCAGCTCGATCAGGTCAACTCGAACGCGGCCAAGAAGCTCGCCGAGGTCAAGCAGGAGCATCTTGCCGAGCTTGCCAACTCCAAGAAGTCGCTCAGCGTGGAATTAATCCAACTCAAGGAAGAGTTCACCGAGACTAGGAAGCGCGCGATCAAGGCCGAAGAGCACGCTGCATACCTGGATGCACAATCGAAGGCTTTCACCGACGGCCACAGGCGTATCGTCAAGGAGCAGCGGAACGCGATAGACGAGCTCAGGAAGTACAGCGACCACGCCAACTATCGTGTCGATGAGGCCACGGCTCACATCAAGGCTCTCGATGTCGTTGCTGGCCAGCAGAGCCACGAGATGGAGAGGATGCAGCGTGGCGTGCAGGATATGCAGCGCGTCTTCAACGGATACAAAGAGGAGTTCAACAAGTTGAAGAGTGAGGGTAGCGACCTTGGTGAGCAGGTCCAGAAGAGTGCGGCTGTCATTGAGAGCTTCGAGAAGGAAGCCGATGAGGCTTTCAGACTTCTGAAGTGGGCCTTCAAGCTTAACAATGGCGATCTCAAGAAGCCGGAGTGAGCATAATAGACGCACGCGGTGCCGACGAGCATCCCCGACATCCCGACAATAGACGACAAAGCATCCAGTACAGCACCTGTCGAAATTCTTTCCCCCGTAGTGGAACCGATCTTGCTACTGCACAAAATCCAGCATACACAACTCTTTTCCTGCAGCACACATCGGACTCTTGGTCATTCGATCCCTCGGAACTCAGCATCACCTTTCCTAGTCTCATGGCGAGCCTTGCTTCGGGTTCATGGAGCTCATGTGCAGTCGACCAACACACGCGCCCCGGTTTATAGAAATGGGTTGCCATATTCCCGGCCACGAGGCCATCATCATCCATGAGGGCGGCAAGCAACGCGCTGCTTTCCAGCAGCAGGAGCAGCATATATGTCTTTGCGATTTGCGATTTCTGCCTTTTGCTTTTTGCTTTTCATCCCTCTCTGAGACGACGTTCACGAACGCATCTCGCTGGCGTAACATTGGCGTATTCCGGCGTACCGAGTGGCTGACAGGCGACTGTCGGTCGAAAGAGCGCGCCCTGGTGAGATACCACACTGGATATTTCTGGCTTCTGGCTTCGGGAGGAGTTCTTTCGAGAAGGGGTGGCGCCGCCCGTAGGCTTCTTTGTATAGTAGACGGATGACTCTTTGCTTGGAAACTCTAATTGCTCTTGTCTGCTTTTGATAGCCTCTTCTCTGCTTCTTGCTCGTGTGATTTGCTGTGTCTTTGCTCTTGCCTCTGGCTTGAGAGCGTGGAGTTTCGTATACGTGCTTGTACATGTCTGCGCAGTGGTGCTTATGGAACAGCAACTTGTTCCAACTTTCTGCCGCAGGCTCTGAGCGCGGATAATGTCTTTCGCCTCTTTATCAAAGCCATATAGACCCATAAAGACGGGCGTTTATTTTCCTTCACAGCAAAGACTCCGACACACATCGCACGTGGTTAACGATTCCACGCACCACAGTTCGGCGCAGCGCATCGGCCCACGGCGTCCTCGCCCGCACCAACGGCCCCTCCCTCCAGCACAACCGACACCGGCCAGCCCAGCAGCGCCAAACTACACAACAACACTGTTCCGCGGTATCTGCTGCGGTGCTGACAGATAATCGACGCCGAGGTCTGGTATTGTGCGCCGCTCCATGTCGGCGCCCGCGCACGCCGTGCCCCGGCGGCATCCAGGTAGCTGTGCTGAGTCTTGCATTCCACCAAGTTTGCGGTTAGCTGTGCGGGTTGTGGGTCGTGGAAGAGGGGGTTGGTGAGTGTTGTTGCTGCTGCTGCTGCTGCTGCGCGCGAGGTTGGGAGGCTGGTCTCGATATCGCGGTAGGTGGTTTTGATTTATTTCTTTCTTTTCGTCTTGGTGGGAGCTTTTTGTGCTTTCTGATGCTGCAAGAGAAGATCGGTTTGCGGCTTGCTGGTAGGGCTTACGGATGACCATGCTAGGGCGCTTAAGAACCAGTCTGGATGACGGCTGTAGCTGCCGTGGTGCGTAAGGGGATCAGGCCTATTGATTGAGAGAAAGAGCAAGGATTCAGGGAGAAGGCTTGGTACCGGGTATGAGGACCAAGCTGGAACTAAGAGCTGTGGAAAGACTGGCTGGATTCATTAGCAGATTTCGTTTCTGCTAGGGGACGAGGAAGAGCTGGCAACAGACGATACTCGCACGGAGTGTGTGAAGGCTGGAGTTTGTCAAAAAGCTTCTGGTTCTCGAGACACCGGAGGGAAGGGTGTCAGGGGAAGACGCCTTCTGGTAATAGCCATACGATTGATTGTATGGCGAGAGGCATTGAGTTGGGCGCGTTCCATCGAGGATATAACCCTGTTAAGAACAAATTTTCTCTGAGATATGCAACAGCTGAGTATCCTGTGGTTCTGGTAAGTCTAACATGCTTTTGGTGTTGACGGCTAACAATTTTTTACACTTTGTAACGATAAAAGCGTGTATAGGGTGACGTAAACTAACTGGATGTACCGAAAAAGGCGTTTTTTGACGATCGGATGTTGTTAATCAGCTCAAGCGTCGTAAACAGACTTGACTGTATATGTAACCGGACAAAAGATCTGAATTTTTGCTGGTGTCAGCGGTCGCAAGTCACTGACGTGGGCAACACTGTATCAGATCTTAAGTTATCCATGTTCTTCGCCCTGACGTACCAACCACTCGGAAAGTCAGTCGAATGCTTGTTCACACGTTCAACACTGCGCAGAAGCCGATGGTTGCTTAGTTGTATCTCAACATGAACAAAGCCATTGTGTGTGTACTGTTCCCCTGTCGAGGAGAGCGCGCGCTCGCAGGCAACACTGAAGTTTGCTATTCCGATTCCTGGTTTCATAACCGTAAGGCCGTTGCCGAAGCTTTCTGTTCTCAACAGGTTGGTTGCTTCTTGTCGAAAGCTTGCTGTACTGACCATTCTGACCGGTTGGAAGGTAACAGGTTGGAGCTCGTCGAGCGAGTCCTCTTCACTGGAACAGGGCTCTTGCGTCCGCTGGAAGATCTCCTGTTTCTGACACTAATCGTAAGAAATAACCCTGTCTGTCGGAGGAACGGGGCTATGTCCTTGGTTAGCCTTCGAGGAGCCCAAGTACCAAGTGATGGTATGGCCGGCTCAGCAACTTGTTCATCGACCAAGCAGTGAGCGGCGCACCCCTGAGGTTTCTCTAAAGCTCAGCTCGAACACAGGCTATGCCTTCACGCCTCTCGCTGTCAGGTACCTGAAGCCAGTCGGGACAGACGTATTCTTGCGGCGAGAAGATGAGCAGGGCACAAGGCATAAGAGTTGATGTATTTGCCCTGTGCAGGAGAGTAGTCGACACTGATTGCTAGCTCATCCCATGTAAGCCATCAGATGGTGGTTGTTGTTGGCGAGGGTTACTCATGAGCTCTGCTGGACGGACAAGCCATGGTAGGTGGCGAGAGGGCAGGGGTGACGTGTGTGGGTGTGCAAAATCACAACAGGAGTTGCCTAAACGGGCCTAGCTAACTAAGGCGCAGTATTTCTCCCACAATCAACTCTTCCCTTGACACTGATACTGTCAACTAACTTCTCCTCCCTAGCATTCGCAACATGCCCTGAACCAACCACCAAACAAACTCAAACCTAATCTTTCTTATAGCTTCGAGGCTCGGCTTATATTAATCACATCCTGAGAAGCTTTCAGCTCAACTCCAAGATAACTCTGCCGGCCTACTGAACACCGTCCTGACCCAAGTGGATTTCGACCTCTTCAACCATATCCTCGTCTTCATGCGCGTCGCCCACGTCATGGGTTCCACCACATACCCGACCGCCGCCGACGTGCAGAAGCAGCCTTACTGTTCAGAGCTTGCGACAATCTCTGGTGTGCAGCTGGAACGAGTATGTTAGTAATGATGATCGTCGACTTCGGGACATGCTGATACTTACCATAGGTGCTGCCCGCATTCGACGGGCGCCAACATGTCTAGAAGCTTTATCGCGGCCTTCTTGGCCCGGCGCTCGATGTCGCGGAAGATGAGCGGGATGTACGCCCTTAAAACGCGCACGAAGTACGTCTCACGACGGATCCGAAACCAAGGATGAACATTTCAGGTGCCATAACAATCTCCCAGCCGGTTGTATTTGTCTTGATGATCCACCTCGATCCGTCTTCGATGTAGTCGGTAAACATCCTAGTGATCATCGTTAGCATGGACAAGAACGAAGCATTGCTAACCCACAACACTAATCAACAGCTAAGACTAACTGACAGCATCTCACAGCTTCACGAAGTCTAGGCTTCGCGCACCAGTGACAGCGCCTCAGCTCCCGTTAAGCGCCATAAACCTCACTCATACAACCCAATCGTCTCAGCCACAAAGCTCGACTGCCTCAGCTCTAACACAGACAAGCCCAGCTCGCGACACGCACAGCACATAACCAAGAGCCCAAAAGCCCAAAGACCTCACTCCATCAAAGCTCCCCAAACCCTACGCGGCGAACCCCGCCCCCTCACCCGCCCCGCTCGCCTCCAGGCACGTGGTTACCCTCGTGGCAGCCCAGAGCGGGGCCCGTGGGTGAAGGGGGCCCATGTTCAGCCGCAGAGCAGGTCTAGCTACAAACCGCCTTTGTTGAGCTGCTATTGCGAGCTTCAGCTTTGCAGTACAGATACGGGTGGAACATGCTTGGTTTTGAATGTGATGATTGCTGCTGGTGGTGATGGCGTTCGTGCTGAGTGGCTGTTTGAGACTGTGTTTTTGTTTGCCACTTGACGCGCCTTTGCTCTTTGCTCTGGACCCCGTTCACGCTTATGGCAGATGATAACGCTCTGGTGATCCGGACTTGTGCCTCTGAATTATACCTAGCTAACGAAGTGAAGACACATTACTGACTACCTATTGCCATGGATCTCAACTTTCAACCCCAACAGCAGGCTCACAAGGGCAACAAGGGTAGCGCATTTACGATCACACCGCCCATCGATCGACGACAATACCTAATCTAGTCCAAAGCCGTGGTACGTAGCGACAGCTCCAAGTCTCTCGAAGGCACAACGGAGCTTTGTCATATGCAGAGCGTCAGAGACTTCGGCTGCTTATCTTTGCCTCTGAATCATACAGTGAAATCACCTCTACTTGCTGATATACATCTACGAAGCGCGGAATGAAAGCCACCACTTCTACAAATCCATACAATGAGTGATCTGTAGACTGTACTTGGTGTCGTTTCTAAACTATTCAGTGAAGGACAAAATAAACAATCTTCCTATTCATCCGTTAAAGAGCAGTAACGGCCGCAAAGGTGACGAAACCATACCCTACAAGTAAAAGCCGCTCTCACTCAATTCCTTTCAACTCCTCCCACAACTACCCCTCCCCCAAAACGCCATCACCAGCTTCCAGACCCAGCCTATTAGTCACCACCAGCCCCCCAAACAGTGCATAAGACCAAAACACGACCTCGAGAAGCAAGCAGACATATAACAGCCACAACCAGGCGACAAACCAAGCGCTCGCCTCCGGATTTGCGCACAAGCGCCGAGGAATAACCAGCAGCAGCGCCACCGCAAGCACATGCACGTGCAAAAACACGATTAGGAACGGCAGCAGTGCCGAGGCGCAGTTCGCGAGCACCCAGTTGAAGTAGGCAGGGGAGAGTGTGGTGCCGAAGCTGTCGAGCGCGAGGACGAACATGAATGCCGTGATGAGGTGCGTAATGGAGAGGAAGTGCTGCTTTAGTGCGCTGGGGGGCCGTTGAAGTAGTCGTATTGCTCGTGTTGTCCCTTCCGGGTTTCTGGCGACGGCCTGGTCGTGCTGTTCAGCCTGCTCGTGCTGTTCAGCTCGCTCCTGTTCAGCTCGTTCGGCTCGGTCCTGCTCTTGGGCTCTCATGCCTTCTAAAAGTCCGATTATGGTCGTCTCGTAGCGGTTTGCATGGTTGTACCGCCGGCGATAGTTGTTAACTGGCATGTCCTCCATGGCTGTATGCTAGGTGGAGTGCTGGTACAGAGAGAGTATGTGTCGTGGAAGGCTGGGTTGGTGCCGCTTCAAGGTGTGCGCGCGCGTGTGTGTGTTGGCTTGGTATATGGAACTGCCCGAATAGCACTGACACACCTAGTCGAATCTTGGTGATAGTACACCACGAACTCAACCGTCCCTCAACCCGAGTACGGACCCCAAACAAACAAATGAGAGCAAAAGCAAAGGCCAAGCTGGCGTACCGCGTACCAAGCCAAGATAATACGCGATGTGTGATGTGTGATGTGCGAAAAGCAATAAGCAATAGCGATGTCTGTCGTCGAGCTGAAATGAGATGAATGGCGATGCCGATGGTGAGAATAATGAAACCTAGCAAGTTGAGAGAGAGAGCGCAGGCGGGAGGTTAGATACGCTCGACGCGCCTGCCTTAACAGCGTTGGGAGAGGGGGGAAACCGCATCCCGCATGCTCTCGAGTCTCGATCTAGACGGCGACAGTGCATCTGAGGCTTATGTCTGTTCTGGGTAAGAGCGAGTAGCGATCATTGACTGCTTCGAAAGGAGTCGAGGCTGGGGTTTGGCGTAACGACGTACGAGGTGAGAATGAGTGTAGGGAGTGAAAGCGGGAAAAGTATAGAGAGAGGGATGAGAGATAGGTTTACTGAATAATTCAGACAATGTAGGAGGGGGATACATACTTAAAAGCAACTGCCTGTATACAGCATCACCAAGCAAGATCCATCACCTAACGAAACAACGACTTGTGTACGGAGCAGAAGAACAAAACCTGGCATAGCATCAAGATATCTATACTACCCTACACGCCCCAAGATCTCCTCACTCATATCCAATACCCAGGCTTATATCCTGACAATAAATATCCCATTTAGACTACTTCTACCATCCCCTATCTCGCTAGACAGTGAATCTTGCTTGACAGTGACGGACGTTAGCAGCACCAGAGAAACCATATATGGAACGTAGACGTAAACGTGACATACAATAGACGTGACGTGACGTGACGTGACGTGGTATAGAACAGCCGCAACAGCAGCAGCAACAATGGCAGCAGCGACAGTAGCCTCCCATCCCCTCCTACGAGCATCCTAGGTAGAAACAACAACAGCACACAATAACAACCTTCGCCCAAGAAGAGAAGAAGAAAAGAGGAAGTGGAAAAAAGAAAGAGAAGACGAAGAAAAAAGAAGAAAAGCCCTCCCCCAAAACTGCCAAAATAGAAACCCCCACAAGGCACAGCACAAGCACAACCCCAAGCAACCAACTACGCCCCCTCAGTCGCAGCATCGCCCTCCCTCTCTCTTTCCCTCTCCCCATCCCCACCATCCCTCCTCACGCTCTCCCGAACACTCTCCCTCTCCCTCTCCCTCTCCCGTCCCCTCATACCCTCCACCTCCCGGTCCTCATACCTACCCCTCCGCCCCACACCCCCCATCGCCACATCCTCATAATACACGACCCGCTCCTCCGGCACCACCTCCCGCTCCCACGCAGGGAGATACTCGACGTACCTCCCCCCGGCAGGCGACGGACCCGGCGCCAACCCCGGCGGCCCCGGCGGCGCCAGCCTCGGCTCCATCTCGTACGCGTCCGCGTACGGCTGCTCGTAGACGCGGTCGTGGTCGCGCGAGCGGCCGCGCTCAGGGAGCGCGTACGTGGCCGGGTAGGGCTCGTAAGGGGGGTAGTCGTCGTAGGGGGCGGCGCGGGCGTGGTGGTACGCGGAGGCGGAGGCAGCCGAGGGGGGCGCTGGCGACCGGATCCGCACGTACTCGACTACTTCGCCGTACTCGTTGATGTAGCTGTGACGGGTTGAGGGCGGCGGACCCGGCGCGTGGTGGTGGTGGTGGTGCGAGGCGTGGTACTGGTGGTACTGGTGCGGGGGCAGGGGCGGCGGCGGCGGTCCCGCGCGCTCCTCGACATAGTGGTAGCCGTAGCCCGGTGGTGGTGGGCCCGGCGAGTATGCCTCGCGGCTGCGATGGCGCGCGTGTTGCTCGTCGTAGTGCACGTAGTCGCGCTCGCGCGGCGGGCCCGCCGGTGGCATCAGCGGCGGCGGTGGCGCGAAATGCAGCGATTCGCTGCGGTAGCGCGAGTGGCGGCGCGGCGGCTCGTCCCGCTCGCGGTAGGCCGCTGTGGCGTCAGCTGTTGCGGTAGCCGCTACTGCAGCGTTGGCGGCGGCGCCGTCGTCGTGGGGCTCCGGGCGCTGGCTGGGCCGGCCGTCTGGCTCCGCCGGCGCCGCCGTGCCCTCTCTGCCCCCGCTTTCGGGCATGCGCGACGCCTCGCGCGTCATTTCGCGCGTCGGACTCTTGCTTTGCTCGAGCCGCTTGCGTGTGGCTTCGTAGCGGCCGTAGCGGCTGCTGCGCGTGCGCACGAGGCGCTGCGTCTGCGCGTAGTAGGGGTCTTCGCGGTACAGGACGCGGCGGTAGCGAGAGGGCGCGTACGTATACCGACGAGGCTCCGGGCGTGGCGCGGGCATGTACCCCTCGTCACGAGAGCCGCGCGGTTCGTAGTAATGAGGGGCACGCGGATCATCAGGATAGGCATATTCGTCATAGCTGTGCCCTCTCGAAGTTCGATACCGAGGTCGTTGCCTCTCCAAATCATCTGGATGAGGCGGGGCATCGGGAGGCATGCGAGAAGGTTCCCGTGTGCCATCTTCAGGTCTTTCCGGTTCTCGGCTTGAAACCCCCGTGGCCAGGTCTTCTAGGAATCGGTCTGCCGCAGCCTCAACTTCCGTCGGCTCTTGTTTGACTACAGTCTCCTCATCCGGCCTTGGTTCCGACTCTGGCGGAGGATCTACTGGCGTAGATGCCGCGAGCTCCGGTCGGTTGAGATACCTAAGGCCGCCGCTTCTCGAGGGCAGTCGGTCCTGCGGATCTAGGTCACGATCAGCCGCGTATCTGCCCTCGCGCCGAGGTCTGTCCCATGTCTCCTCGTAGATTCGACCATAGTGAGAATACCGCCGAGAAGCTGCAGGGCTCAGAGGCATGTATGACTCGCGACGAGGAGGGTATCCATGATCAACCGGCTCATGTGCGTACTGGAAGCAATGATTATCAGCAAATCATAAATCCCACATCATGTGTACTAGGGCTTACATAGTATCTCGGTGGCTCATCGTAGTAGATCCGCATTTCAGGATCGTCCGGATGAGGGCTATACATGCGGTCAAAATGGCGTGGAGGCCTTGACCGTCGCTGTGGCTCATAATCAGGATGCTGCCGATCATGTTCCCTGTAGCCAACCGAGCGGTTTTCGCGGGATGATATGCCTGAAGGTTCGCCTCGCTCGTCACCCGGTGGAGGCGCACGGGCTGCAGGTGCGGAAGTGGACCCAGGACGGCTTTCCTGGTCATCTGCGAACCTAGAGCGGTACGCAGGTGTCGTAGAAGGGTTTTCAGCCGGCAAGCCAGCTGGTGGGCCCCCTTCATCTTCAATTACGCCGATATGCGGCAACGGAGTAGGAAAGAGCATAGGAAAAGCGTCTGCGATGATATGCAGCTTATGATCATCCATCCCGGGAGATCGGATCAGCGCAGAAATCATGTCATCGTCAGGCAGTTCAATCATGTCCTTCCTCCAGTCAAGCTGGGGTCCAGGACTAACATTATAGGTTCCGGAAGGACCAACCCTTTCCGTATGAAAAGACTTGAAATGAACAATGAGAAGAAGGAAATCTGAGAAATTCCTCTCTGCAGACTGAGAGGAAGAAGAAGGAAAAGGAGGAGCGTGGCTTTGAGAACCCATCGCGCAAGCTTTACAGCGAAGACCATTGGCAACTTTGATGGGATGCATCGAAGGATCTTCAAGCGCATCTGCGAGTAGATCAAGGCTTGGCTGAATGCCGAACCGCAAGTTGAAGCGGTCAAGGACATGGTAAATAACCACCGAAAGCCTTACGCTTGGGACCATATCTCGGATTCCGGAGGTGCACGTCCAAATATCCCGTGCTACGTCTGTAAGCAACTTCATTTGATCCTGGTATACATTTGTCGCAGGCGCCCTCGAGCCAGGCGTTTGGGCTGGCGAGGGTTCGTGGGGAGGTGCACCATGATAAGGTCCATACGTTCCCGGTCCACTGACAGCCGGCGGAGGCAGGCCAAACTGTCCTTGAGGCTGTTCTGCATAGCCAGGTACATTACGCGACGCCCCGTATGCTGCAGCTTGGGGGGAAAATCCATACCCTGATGGCCCCGGCGCATGAAAGGCGCCGTAGGCGTCGTACGGATTGTAGCCATCCTGCCACTGGGGCTGAGCAGGAGTTCCATAAGACGGACCAGAAGCTGGATGGCTGTAAGCTGGCATTGAAGGACCGGCAGGTTGTCCATAGTAACCACCAGGCGGAGCCTGTGGCGGAAAAGGTCCACTGGTCACGGGTCCTAGGTGGCCATGGGATCCTGGACTTGACCTTGAATAGGCAGAATGCGGAGCAAACGCAGCCATTTGGGACGTAGAGCCAGTGCTTTGGGGATACCCACCATAAGAATAGGGCGGATATCCATGGCGAGGGTGTCCAGGGCCCGGGGCAGAAGCAGGCAAGCCACCGTTGTAAGATCCATGTCTAACATTAGTAGGATCCGGCTGAAATGGAGGATTATCGGGCCAATCAGCTTCTTTCCAACAGACAACTACATTGCCAACGCTGAAAGCCGTCGTGTGCTTCGCTCCGTAATGCTGAATGATACCTTCGAAGCCATACATCTTCGGATTACCCTCGCACCCTTCGCCACTGCAGACGAAGAGCTCCTTCCGATACTGTTCAGTTAGCGGCTTGATCTTGTTGTCGAATACCCATTTCATGTTCTCCAGCAAGAGCCGCCTAGTCGGAGGCCCAGTAGGCGGGTCTTCTCTGATGTCCTCCCCTCTGTCCATGGCCTCTTGATCCTCCCTGGTTTGGTCGAGGTAGAAACGTCGGCGAAGCGCCACCAAGAGTTCTGCAGCGAATATCGGGGCGTTCTGCTTCGTAATTGCACGGCCTTCGTTCCAGTCGCGCTGAATTATCTCGTCGGCGTAGGCGGAAAGGCGATCCCTGACAGGTCGTTGGACCTCTTCCCACTCTCGTTCGAGAACCTCTCGCACCTCTTTCATGTTGGCATCCTGTTGACGGCGATCTTCGAGTTTTACCTGTAACGCAGCCATTTGAGCAGCACGTTCGTGTTCTACCTTTTCAGCCTCATCGCGCTGGGCCTCTATACGAGGTTTGAGCATTTCCCAAGCTCTGTCAGTCAGAGGCGCTGAAATCTGACAGGCAGCCTGGAAGGCCTTCATATGGCGGAGAACATTCGGCACGATCGGCGGGAGAAATTCCTGTTGACACCGCCGCTCAATCTCAGCTTTGCGTGCAGCCTTGCCCTCGTTGGCATCTCGCATATTGCGCTCAGGTCGCGGTGTCTGATTAGGAATAGGAGACATGTAAGGCGGAAGATTGTGCTGTTCTGCGGAGGTGGCAGGGTAATGGGGTCCAAAAGATGCTCCTTTTCAATTCCTGTGGTCAGCAATCTCCAGATACTCGGATTAAAATCCGAAACCCCATAATTTTTTTTTTCTTCGTATAAGCACGTCGCTTGACGTGCACAACAATATGTGCTACATTGTCCAGATTATCGCGAAAACTCGACTTACCTGGTCGCGATACGCCTCGCGGTATGCCATTCATGGGCAATTGCCTCAATCCCGTGTAAGGCTCATGCTGGACGCTCAAGGATACGGTCAAGGACGAGGATGGATCGGCACGACTCTGCATCGAGGCCAAATCCTGATATCCTCCTTTCCGCTCCCAACGTTCCCAACGCTCAGCGTCTTGTAATCGCCCTTTCCCCTGGCCTGCGAGGCCCTTGAACCATTCCTCAGCTGCTGCAGGCCCGAGACTGCGAACTTCTTCAAGCTCGCGTTGTATGTCTTGCACTTGCTCTCGGTAGTACCATTTGGATATCGTGACGTTGGGGGGTATTTGCGAGGAGCCCAAAGAGCTGGAATGGACCACATCAAGGTGTTGAGTGACGAACACGTAGGGTAGGGCAGGAATGAGACCAGAGGCAGAGGTGAAAAGCAGCGATTGCTCCTGCGTTTGAAGTCAGAGTTGGTCAAGGTGAATGCATCCTCGGAGAGCGAAACCTTTTCCGAGCGCTCCTCTAGGCATTTGCCACAACTACGTATGCCAAAGGGCCAAATGATGCGCACTCCATCATGGCCTGGGCCGCCGTCCCACACAGCAGTGGAGAAGGCAAGCTCAGAGGGCGATGGCTTCCCGCAGAATTGACAGCGGCGGCCGCACAAGAGCTGCCACATGCGCAATTCGGAGTGGTTTACAAGTGGCTTTGGGAGAGAAGGAAAATACGACTTGCGCGCAGAATACCAGATGAATGCAGAGCTGAGAAAGCGTGAACCAGGAGCAGGTTCAACATCTTGGGTGAGGAGGGTATGAAAAGCGCGGTTGACCAGCAACAGTCGACCAAGAGCAAGCGGGGGGAGGTTAAGGAAAACGTTCTGCCATACATCAGCAGGCAAGCCTGCGACAGAAGGAAGGGCGGGCTCGGCATGCAGCCTGCGCCGCTTGTCAGGAGTCGAAGCGGGCCCGTCAGCCTTGCGCTTGCCGAACGACGGTTGTTGCGAGGAGCTCGCGCTGCCGTGGCGGCGGTGTTGGCTCATGTCCATGGCTCGAGCGACGTTCGTGTGGTGAGCAGAAAGGACCGCATGGGATATAAGACTGGGGGCAGGGATCGAGGGGAGAGGGCGCAAGAAGTCCGAAAGGCGGGTGAGGGATGGGGCTTCCATTTGTACAGCTGAGGGTTGAGCGAGGCTACCAATCAGCGGCCCCCGCGGCGGGTCAACTTTAGCGTGGTGGACAGGGCGTGACGGGCTTCCGGCGGCCGGAGAGAGAGGTCTCTCTGGCCAGACCTACGCATCACGTGTGTCTGTGTGTGCGGAGCCGGCGGCCGCTCGGCCCGTGCGGGCCTTGGTGCCTGACCGTGCCTGACCCAGCCCATCTTACGCAACCCGCATCATCATCGCCGTTCAGCTACTTGCTACCCTAGGCACCAACACCTACCCTACCTACCTTACTTTCACCTTCTCCCCCCCTCCACCAACCCTTCCGCCACTCCGACTGCCAGGCATCTTGCACTCTCACCCTTTCGCATCCCCGACCGCCTGATCGCAGTACATCCTTACCCCCCCTGTCACCCGTCCCCGGGTTGTATCCACCATGGCAACCCTCAACACCTCCAGCAACGGCCCGAACATCACCAGGAGCTACCAGGCAATCGTCAATGCTCCTCTGCCCTCGGGCGCCGCTGCTGGCTCTCCTACCTATGGGCAATGGGCCATCTTCTCCGTCCAAGCCCCCCTAGCCAACGCCTTCGTCGCCGACACGGGCAAGGAGAGTGTCCTCAAAGTCCAGAGCACCGGAGGTGAGTCATTCGCCGCCCACACGCATCCCGCCCGATTCGCTGACAGTCTGCGTCGCAGAGGGCGAACTGACGGACCTGATCGACGAGCTCTCCGAGGGCAGAATCCAGTTTGCTTTTGTTAAAGTCAAGGACCCCAACTCCGGCCTGCCCAAGAACGTTCTGGTGGCATGGGTCAGTATCCCGCCCACTGCCTGTCATTTCCTAGCTGACCGTCTTCCTGCAGTGCGGTGAAGGTGTCCCGGAGAGGACCAAGGGCTACTTCAATACTCATCTTTCCGTAGTCACTAAGCTCCTTCACGTATGTCGCCTACTCGAACTAGGCCACCACTCCAGCTGACAGCTCCTAGGGCTACCACGTCCAAGTCACTGCCCGGAACGAAGCCGCACTGAGCCCCGAAGGCATCATCCAGAAGGTCGCAGATGCTTCTGGCGCCAAGTATTCTGCAGGTGACGCGCCTGCCCCCAAGCCGGCTCCCAGCGGACCTCCGCCACCCGTCGCGACCAAGCCTGTCTTCACCCCTACTCGCGTTGGAGGTGCAGTAAGCGGTGGCTTCAACCCTCTCGCCCGCTCCCGCGCCGCTCCGTCGAACCAGAACACGGATAATGATGGCTGGGGTGCTGATGCACCCCCGGTTACGAGGACACAGCTCGAGAAGGTCGAGCCGGCCTACAAGCCTACCAAGGTAAACATGGCGGAACTTACCTCTCAAAAGCAGGCGCCAGCCCCCGGTTTCTCCAAGCCGGACGACAGGCCAGCCGACATTGTCAGCGGAGGTTACAAGCCCATCGGCAAGGTCGACATTGGGGCCATCCGCAGGGAGGCTGCCGAATCTGGACAATTGAAGGATGACAGGCCCGCCCCGATTAAGGGCTCTTACGAGCCGGTCGGCAAGGTCGACATTGCCGCCATAAAGGCCAAGGCTGCCGGTCCTCCCGGTGCCCCGGCGCCTGCTAATGACGAGGAGGAAGAAGCCCCGAAGTCTTTGGCGGAACGTTCGGCCGCCTTCAAGCAGTCTGAGAGACTCACCGCTATGCCTAAGCCCAAGGTTGCAAACAAGTTTGGTTCCAATGCTGCCTTTACCGGAACCAAGGCCCCGACCCCAGCGCCTCTTGGACCCAAGCCTATCGCCGCGACTGCGCCCATTGGCACCGCAAGCAAGACCTTTGCCGACGAGGGAGGTAAGACGCCCGCTCAGATTTGGGCAGAGAAGAAGGCGCGCGAACGTGGCCTCAGCGGTGCTAGCGACAACCCGCCACCAGCAGCCCAGGCTGTCTCTCCCCAACCCAGCGGCAGCCAGGGTGGCTGGAAGAGCGGCTACGCGGGCAAGAGTTGGGCTCCTGTCCAGACGACGCATACCGGAAATGCCAGCAACCTCAGTGCGCAGCGTACTGGCCAAGACGAGCAAGAGCAGGAGACCCCAGCCTCTCCTCCCGGAGGTATCGGTTCTATTCGCGATCGCTTCGCAGCTGCTCCTCCACCTCCGCCTATGGACTTTGCCAGCAAGCCCAACGCTGGCGCAGGTGCGCCCGGCCTGCCCATGCGGCCCTCTCAGCCGCAATACGAGGAAACGGACAGGCCCGCCGAGGAGCACGTCGATGTTCCAGCGCCGCCGCCTCAGCCTCGCAGCCCGTCTCCCCCTACTCCCGACGTCCGTCCTAGCTCGCCTATCCGTATTGCTGCTCCCGTCGCCCGCACCCAGGAGCCCGAGATGGAGCCAGCGGAGGAGCTCCACTCGCCGCCACCGATGCCCACGCGCTCCCTCGCCAACGTTGCCGAGGCAGCCGGCGACGACCTGGCCGACGAGCCCCAGGTTGCGGAGCACGACCCTGCCCGCGGCGCCGCGCAGGCGGCCGCCGAACAGACCTTCGGCGCGGCCGCGGCAGCGTCGGCGCAACCGGCGGCCCAGAGCGGCGGCAAGCGCGCCGTTGCGCAATACGATTACGAGAAGGCTGAGGAGAACGAGCTGGAGCTCCACGAGGGCGAGACGATCGTCAACATTGATATGGTCGACGAGGACTGGTGGATGGGACAGAACGAGCGCGGCGAGGCCGGCCTGTTCCCTAGCAACTACGTCGAGCTGATTGAGGACGCGGAGGCTGCTGCCCCGCCCGTGTCTCGCGCACCGGCTGCAGCGGTTCCGGAGCCTCCAGCGGGTCCGCCGCAGGCGGGTGGCCATGGCGCCCCGACTGCTACGGCGCAGTACGATTACGATGCTGCCGAGGAGAACGAGCTGAGCTTCCCGGATGGCGCTACTATTACTAATGTCGTAAGTAGAGCCCGCGCTCTGTGCTTATTTTTGAAGGAACAGTTGACTGATGATGATTTTCGCAGGAATTCCCGGATGACGACTGGTGGTTCGGCGAGTACGGTGGGCGCAGCGGCCTTTTCCCGGCTAACTACGTTGTGCTTGACGAGTAAGGTGGTTTCGATGTCGGGTTAGGTGGGCTTCTGTTTGCTTGTGGTGAGGTGTGGATGTGGATGTGATGGAATAGGTCTGCTCGATGGTGTAGGCTGGGACGCGGCTGGATGGGATGGGAATGGAATGGGTGGGGTGGGATGGGATGGACAGGATAAGACAGGACAGGACAGGACAGGACAGGACAGGACAGGACAGGACGGCACAGAGAAAGATGCGGAGAGGTGGATGGAGAGAAGATACAGGGATGGGATGGGATGGGATGGAGAGCCGAGGAAGGCTAGCATGCACGTGGCAAGGCTGTTTGTTAGTTTGTCTGTCTGTCTGTCTGATAATGCCGGTCTGGCTACTGCCCGATATACGTCAAAAGCAATTCTAGCGCTGAGAACATGGATGCTTAGGTTGTTTTGTCATTACTCTAGTAGTAGTGGGTATAGGCGTGGGAAAGTAAAGTAAGTTGTTGATAGATACCAACGCAGGAAATCTAGCTATGGAGGCTGCCAGAATTATGAGAAGTCGTTAGACTTGCATAGCGAGCGGTCTTTCCGTCGGCGGTAATTGTGCGCTTTTTGAACTTTCGTCGCTGAACATGGCGCACGTCTTTGCGTGCTCCGCTGCTTCTTCGTCCTCGTCTTTGAGCTAAGCTAAGCTAGGCTAAGCTATGCCTGCTTGTCCCTTTCCTTGGAACTAGGTCTTTGGCTAGCTCGCCTGGCGATGTTACTGCACTGAGGAATCGGCTGTGAGTGTACTATGTAATCTAGGCGTGGGCGTGGCTGGGCTGGGCTGGGCTGGGCTTCTTCACCTGGGGGTTGGAGTCATAGCCGGGTTAGGCTCGTGGGGGACGCTGAGGCTGAGGGGATGCTGAGGCTGAGACGGTGTCTCATGAGACGTCCATTGCTTCTGGCTGGGGCGTGGAAGCCTGCTCCTGCTTCTTCTTGGCCTCGGGGCCCTCTGTGCGCGCTTTCTTGGCCTGGCGCTTCTGCTCGCGCTTCGAGGGCGCAGTCTTATTCCGGCCAGCGCCAACGCCCGCCTCAGCGCTCTTAGCTGGGCCCTCAGCCTTGCGCTTCTGCGACTCCTGCGCCTTCCTAACCGGTTTCTCGCCGCCGTACACGACGTCGACGACGCCACGGAAGCTCGAGCGCTTGAGCTGGGCGCTGACGACGACGGCGCGAGCCTCTTTCGAGACAGCCTCGTGGCCGCGCTCCTGGCCCAGTCCCCACACGGCCGCGAGGTTGACGGCGTCGAAGGGCCCGCGGCACCCGATTGCGGCTTTGGCCTCGCTGCTGATGATGAGGCCGCGCCCGCGCGTCGCCCGGATCAGCTGCGTCGCGTTGGAGATGAGGTTGCGGCGGGCGGCGGCGTCGCGCGCGACCACACCCGGCGCGTAGCTGATTTCGAATTTTATCCCCCGCTCGATCGCTTGCGAGAGCATTTTGAACTTGAAGAAGAAGCCGAGCCGTTGCGAGAGGTCCAGTGAGATGATGTCGCAGTCCAGCGATTGGCACGCTTGTTGCAGCGTTTTTTCGTCGACGGGCCGTACGGCGAGGATGTCGTAGGCGCTGGAGAGGTTGTTGATTCGGTGGTTTTGCGCGGCGTCGGAAAGGACGAGGGTGCAGCGGCGGAGGATGCGCATGTTTTTGGGCGTGGGGAATGGGAGAGGATCGGGGATTGGGCAGGTCTGTTTGTGTGTGTTAATGTGTCTGTCTGTCTGGAGAGATAGAGACAGAGAGAAAGATGTATGTACCAGGTCGGCGGGCAGCTTGCCCGAGAGGGTATGGGCCAGGGCGACGACATTGTATCCCACTGGTAGGATTAGTTAGGTTGAGAGTGAGTGAGGTAGTAGTGATGCTCACGTTCGTCGAGAAAGGCCAGGGAACGCTGCAAGTCGGGCTGGTCCTTTGCGGACCAGGGCAGGTTAAGATCGTAGAACATTTGTGATTCTGAGAGATAAATCTAGAAGGAAATTAAATTGAAATGCTCGAGTTCTGGCGTCGGCTAGTGACAGGGATCCGCCTTTCTCTTGGATCGCCCAAAGCCAGCCCCGCGGATCGCACAACACCAACGCCCAAGGCCCTGCCAGCCCGGACGCAACTCGAACCGCCACCGCCCACGGCAGCCGCATCGCCATTCCCGTCGGCTCTCAATCGCCGTCCCGCACCACGCTCGCTCGCCCCCTCGTTGCCCTCGCGCATTTCCCCTCCCCAACCGGCAGTCTGCCGCAACAACAGTCCGACTCACCACCGCCCAGCATGGCGCGTGTGTATGCAGGTCAGACCGACGCCTCCTCCCCCTCGCTCGTCAAGTTAACCGAGGCCCTAGATGTAAACGCCAACATGCCCCGGTCCTACTGGGACTACGACAGCGTCAACATCTCCTGGGGCGTGCTGGAGAATTACGAGGTTGTGCGCAAGATCGGTACGCCTTCTCCCTGCCTGCCCGTGCCACGCCTACCACGTAAAAAAAAACTGACATGCGCGCCGGCACAGGCCGCGGCAAGTATTCCGAGGTCTTTGAGGGCATCAACGTCGTCAACTACCAGAAATGCGTCATCAAGGTCCTCAAGCCCGTCAAGAAGAAGAAGATAAAGCGTGAGATCAAGATCCTGCAGAATCTGTCGGGCGGGCCCAACATCGTCGCCTTGTTGGACGTCGTCCGCGACAACCAGGTCCGTTGCACTCCCACACGGCTCTCCCCCGTGTTTTTTTCCTGCACACGCCTTGGGGGAAACGCCGCTGACACAATCAACTAGAGCAAGACTCCCTCACTCATCTTCGAATACGTGAACAACACCGATTTCAGGAGTCTGTACCCGAAGTTCCAGGACTACGATGTCCGCTTCTACATCTTTGAGCTGCTGAAGGTATGAGTGGTGGTGGGGATGACGTGCGAGGACCCTTGGCTGATTTCGATGCGCTACAGGCCCTGGACTTCTGCCACAGCAAGGGCATCATGCACCGCGACGTGAAGCCGCACAATGTCATGATTGACCACGAGAAGCGCAAGGTGCGTACCAAGCAGCATGGATGAGAGCCCCCTCCGACCCCGGACTAACTGGAGACCAGCTGAGACTGATCGACTGGGGTCTTGCCGAATTCTACCACGCCGGTACCGAGTACAACGTCCGCGTCGCGTCGCGTTACTTCAAGGGCCCTGAGCTTCTCGTCGACTTCCAGGAGTACGACTACTCGCTCGACATGTGGTCTTTGGGCGCCATGTTTGCGTCGATGATCTTCCGCAAGGAGCCCTTCTTCCACGGCAACAGCAACTCCGATCAGCTGGTTAAGATCGCCAAGGTTCTGGGTACCGAGGATCTTTTCGATTACCTTGACAAGTACGACATTGAGCTTGATGCCCAGTACGATGACATCCTTGGCCGCTTCCCCAAGAAGAGCTGGCATAGCTTTATCAACGCCGAGAACCAGAGGTTCGTCAGCAATGATGCGATTGACTTCCTTGATAAGCTTTTGCGCTACGATCACCAGGTATGTATTTGGCACGAGGTTGTGATATTTAAAGTAGATCTAACACACGATGTAGGAACGTCTGACGGCCAAGGAAGCCATGGCTCACCCCTACTTCAACCCGGTCCGCCAAGCCGCGCTCCAGAACAGCGCGAGCACGTCTTGATTGAGCTAATCACGAGCCCCCCACTCTTCACGTCATGGAGACAACCGGACGCTTCGAGCTTGCGACATAGGGAAACCGCCTCTCACGGCGGAAGAAACCGTGCTGGCGCGAGAGAGAAAGACAGAGCAAGAAGAGCAAGACGCACGTGCCAGCAAGCACGCTGGTCTCAGCAAACCCCGGCTTGATACCATTGGGAAATCATGGGAGATTGACGATGCATCGGATAGGGCTGAATAATGAGGCAGGGAGAGTCCGGCACTGGAAGAGAGCTGGGGCGGGGGAGGGGCTTGCATGCGCAGGAGTGGAAAGGTTGGGTTTTTCTTTTTTTTCGCCGTTGTAGATACCATAAGGTCAGATGACTATGATTTCCAAATGGTTGTTGGTCTTTGCAAGTGACTCGGTTGTGAGGGGCAGTGATAAGATAGACGGTGCAAAGGCGGCAATCTCGCCAAGCGTCCCGCATGTCCCGCCGCAGAATAGTGAGTAAGAAAGTGCGAAGAGTCACGAATAGTCACGTCTTCATTGCGAAGAGTCACCCCTTCAGGCCCGGCTGAGGAACCGTTCAAAATTCTGTCTCGAGCGCTGTTAGTGCGCTCCAGCCTTCATATATCGCGCCGTCAGCCAGTTTGTCGCGCGTTTACTAAAATGGCCCTCAACCACGCTTCGCACAACATCCGTACGTCGTTGCGGCCCGAGCATCCTCTCACTCTGCATCAACTAACAGCTTCTTTTCGCAGCGGGAGAGAAGACAGGCCCCGCCACCGGCCCACCACCACCCGTTTCTAGCGAAGCCGCCTCTGCCATCGTCGACGCATCCCAGAAAGACGCAATGGGTCAGCACGCGCCCGGACAGGACGAGGCCAAGCCCGTCGCCGCGGAGGGCGAGAACAAGCCCAAGACAGAGAAAGAGCGTATGGATCCCTCTTGAGGCAGCGATTGCTTGAGTCTAGCGTTGCGCGCACGTATACAGCTAGACTTCACATATGAATTGATGTTGACGTTTGCTTTGTCACAGTCAAGAAGGAGCGCGAGAAGGCCGAAAAGGCCAAGAAGTTCCAAGAGAAGCAGGCTAAGAAGGCTCAGCTCGCTGCCAACACCGTCAAGAATGCCTCCAAGAAGAAGGTCGTCGGCACCGAGGCTATGAAGCCCTATGTCGAGGAGACTCCCAAGGGCCAGAAGAAGAGTAAGCGAAGCGCTTCTGCTGACGAGATTTAAGAGTGTTGCTTATGAGTGTCTCTAGTCCTCAAGTCCCTCGACGACGAGTACCACAAGGCCTACATTCCCTCCGTTGTCGAGTCCGCATGGTATGACTGGTGGGAGAAGGAGGGCTACTTCGAGCCCGAGTTTGGCCCCGACGGCAACGTCAAGCCCGCCGGCTACTTCGTCATCCCGGAACCCCCGCCGAACGTCACCGGTGCCCTTCACTGTGGTCACGCCCTCGCCAATGCTCTCCAGGACACGATGATCAGATGGGAGCGCATGAGAGGCAAGACTGTCCTCTACCTGCCTGGTTGCGACCACGCTGGTATTTCCACCCAGTCCGTCGTCGAGAAGATGCTGTGGAGGAAGGAGCAGAAGACCAGGCACGACCTTGGCCGTCCGGCTATGGTGCAGAGGATCTGGGACTGGAAGGGCGAGTACCACCAGAGGATCAACAACGTCCTGCGTAGGATGGGTGGCTCCTTTGACTGGTCCAGGGAAGCTTTCACCATGGATGACAACCTCTCCAAGGCCGTTACCGAGACTTTCGTCAGGCTGCACGAGGAGGGCCTTATCTACAGGTCGAACCGTCTCGTCAACTGGTGCACCACCCTGAGGACCGCCCTTTCCAACCTGGAGGTCGACAACAAGGAAATTGAGGGCCGTACCCTGCTCGACGTCCCTGGCTACGACAGGAAGGTCGAGTTTGGTGTCATTACTCACTTCAAGTACCCCATTGAAGGCACCGAGGAGACTATCGAGGTCGCTACCACCCGTCCCGAGACCATGCTCGGTGACAGTGGTATCGCCGTCCACCCCAACGACGAGCGCTACAAGCACCTTGTCGGCAAGAAGGCCAAGCACCCCTTCGTCGACCGCCTGCTCCCCATCGTTGCCGATACCTACGTCGACCCCGAGTTCGGTACTGGTGCCGTCAAGATCACCCCCGCTCACGACCCTAACGATTTCTCGCTCGGCCAGCGCCACAACCTCGAGTTCATCAACGTCTTCACTGACGACGGTCTGCTGAACCAGAACTCTGGCCAGTTCCAGGGCCAGAAGCGTTTCGATGTCCGTTACTCCGTTGTTGAGGAGCTGACGAAGCTCAATCTCTACGTCAAGAAGGAGAACAACCCGATGAAGATTCCTCTGTGCCAGCGCACCAAGGACGTCATTGAGCCCATTGTCAAGCCCCAGTGGTGGATGCGCATGAAGAGCCTGGCCGAGCCCGCCATTGCGGCCGCTCGCAATGGCGACATCAAGATCCGCCCCGCCACCGCCGAGGCCGACTACTTCAGGTGGCTCGAGAACATCCAGGACTGGTGCTTGTCCCGTCAGCTCTGGTGGGGCCACCAGGCTCCCGCCTACTTCGTTGAGGTCGAGGGTGAGACCAACAGCGACTCGGATGACCAGTACTGGATTGTCGGCCGTACCGAGGAGGAGGCCAAGGAGAAGGCGGCGAAGAAGTTTGCTGGCAAGAAGTTCACTCTGCGCCGTGACGAGGATGTCCTTGACACCTGGTTCTCTTCTGGCCTATGGCCGTTCTCTACCCTTGGCTGGCCCAACGAGACTCCGGACATGGCCAAGCTGTACCCGACTAGCGTTCTCGAGACTGGTTGGGATATCCTCTTCTTCTGGGTTGCCCGCATGATCATGCTCGGTATAAAGCTTACCGGCCAGATCCCCTTCAAGGAGGTCTACTGCCACTCGCTCATTCGTGACTCCGAGGGCCGTAAGATGTCCAAGTCCCTGGGCAACGTCATCGACCCCGTCGACATCATGGAGGGTATCCAGCTTGAGCAGCTCCACCAGAAGCTTCTCGAGGGTAACCTCGACCCCAAGGAGCTCAAGACGGCCTCCAAGTACCAGCAGACGGCCTTCCCGCAGGGTATCCCCGAGTGCGGTGCCGATGCGCTCCGTTTCTCGCTCGTCCAGTACACGACTGGCGGTGGTGACATTGCCTTTGATGTCAAGGTCATGCACGCCTACCGCCGTTTCTGTAACAAGATCTACCAGGCGACCAAGTACGTCCTTGGCAAGATCGATGCCGACTACGTGCCGCAGAAGACGGCCGACAAGACGGGCAAGGAGTCTCTGGCTGAGCGCTGGATCCTGCACAAGCTCAGCATCGCGTCCAAGGAGATCAACCAGGCGCTCACGGACCGCGAGTTTGCTAAGTCGACGCAGATTGCGTGGCACTACTTCCACGACGACCTGTGCGACGTGTTCATTGTAAGTTTTTGCCTTGCCGGGTGAGATTATGTGAGTGGAGGCTAACAAAGCAACAACAGGAGTACACCAAGCCCATCATCCAGGACGGCACACCCGAGGCCAAGCGCTCGGCCATCGACACGCTGTACACGGCGCTGGAGGGCGGCCTGACGATGCTGCACCCGTACATGCCGTTCCTGACGGAGGAGCTGTGGCAGCGGCTGGCGAGGCGGCCGGGCGACAGCACGCCGACGATCATGCGCGCGGCGTACCCGCAGCACCGGCCTGACTTTGACGACGCGGCGGCCGAGGCCAGCTACGAGCTCATTCTCGAGGCGGCGGCGTCGGCGCGCTCCATCATTGCGCAGCACAAGCTTGTGGGCGCGAAGGCGGCGGTGCGGCTGGGCAAGGCGGACGAGGTGGCGGCTAAGGCCGTCGACGACGTCAAGACGCTTGCGGGCAAGGGCTTGGGCGACGTGATGCTCGTGAAGGAGGGCGAGGAGGGCCCGCAGGGCTGGCAGCGCGGCGAGTCGGAGAAGACGGGCGGCGTCGTGTGGATTGAGGTGCCGAGCCGGCCGCTGTCGAAGGAGGGCGAGGTTAAGGAGTTGGAGAAGAAGACGGGTGAGCTGAAGGTTTAGATGTAGCTGGAGGCAGGTGGTTGTCTGCTATTTATCCGCTTACCTACTTACTTGCTGGCGCCCTTGCGGCTGGTAGAGGTTGGATACATGCGTAGATTTCTGCCATGGAAAAAATTTCAGAGTTCGTTTCTATCGCGTTATTATGTGTTCGGACTGTTTGAAGTGCTTGAAGTGGTTGAGGTGTTTTGTTCTTTGGGTGCGTGATGCGAGGGGAGGAGGGAAGTGCTTGCTTGCTTGCTTGCTTGCTTGTGTGTTTGATGCGCTATGCTATGCTATCTCCGGGTGGTGGTGAGGGAGCGAGGCGCGATATAGGATCTGATGGGTTAGGTGGAGAGTGAGAGGTAGTCTGTCTACCTATACCTATAGACTAAGTGGGTGGGTGGGTAGAGTGGACGAAGTCTTACCTTTCTTTCTTCGCCTCTCCTCTTCCTTCTTTGGTACATGGGGTCGTTCGGTTCAGTGGTTCACGATACCGTTGCTTGACGTTAGACAGAGATCTGTGTTGAGCTGTGCGCGCTCTACCTGTGCGGTGTGGTGTAGTGCGTTTGTGTTTGTGTATAGGCCTGCGGTATTTGTTGCTGCTGAGTCGGACGAGGTGGGCGGTGGTCTGGTTGGCTTTTGATGTGCTGGGGAAGGAAGCTAGTGCTAAATTTCTGCCTGCTATATGGAGGGGTTGAAAGGATTGAATAGGGTATTTAAGAGCAAGAAAAAGTTGACAGTCTTCTCCAATAGTAGCTCACTCACCATGCAGCTCCATCAGCGCAACACAGGCATTCACGGAGACCAAAAACCAAACGACAAAAAGGCTAGACCACGCCTTTAGCAGCCGAGAGACCTTGGAATGCGGGAACGTTGAGGAACTTACAACGTGCTGAGCTAATATTAAGATCTGGAGTTAGAACGCTCGTGTTCTAGATGCGGTGCGCTGAGTTAAGTTGTTAACTACTAGACTAGGAGTCCTGGCTTTGGTTTTGGGATTGTGGACGGAATGGATAAGGGGACTAGGGGTAAGGTGTCAGTGTTGGTGATGCGGTGGTGTTAATAAGATGACGGGTGCGGCACTTTGGCATATCTGACGCATTTATGCTGGACAGTTTAGAGAAGCTGATTCTACTTAGGATACGTACGTCACGGGCAAACTCCCAGCTTGTTGGCAGTGTTTTTTATATCCGAGTAAGAGCACGCGCTTCCTGGCTTACGAGCAGCGAAGTCACGGTCATCATCACAGCCACTCCATACTGTTTGTTGCCTGGACGAGGAGCCGGAGTGAAGGGCGACTGCGCTGAGAGCTGCGAGCCTGTCTTCTCGGGCGATGTCACTCTTTGCTATGCGGCACTTTGATGTCATTAGGTGCGCTAAGCTTGAGGCCAGGAGTGCATGCCGGTGAGTGTACTCACGGGAGCTCCTGCTCATGTGGATCATCGTCAAACGGGTGACTGTCGATCAGGTCTTTGAATTTCTGGCGAAAACCCATGTCTGATTCCATGTGTTTATCGGCGGCGTCTTGTCCATGGTGATAGTACGTGAATTTGAGGCACTCCAAAGCAGCAAACTTGTTCCCGCTTTCCTCGCCGATTGCTTTGATCCAGTGCTGAAAGAAGTAGTACAGGAAAGTGACCAAGTCATGTCTACTGCTTAGATATTTATCATCCATTCCTCCGATGCTGAAGTGGCGTAAATTCCGTGCCAGCCCGAGTTGCAGAGACCATTGAGGTGACGGTGCCTTCAGTATGCTCGGTCCTTCACAGTAGAAGTCGTCTAAGCGGTAAGTCTCCAAAGACTTTAGGTATTTGACAGAAGTTCCGATTTGACAGATGAAGTTAGAAACCAGGCACATCCATGTCTTGAACTTGGTCTGGCCATAAAATATCGGAGTGGCCTCGTAGTGGACTTGACGACTGATGAGAAGTAAGTCAACGGTTGGCTTTTCGTCTTGACGACTGATTGTAACCAATTTCCTCTGTTCATAGGGATACTTCCTAGCGTGTCCGAATTCTTCATTGATAAGGACAGTCAATGGCACGCCCAACGCAAGCTCATAGACTTGGTTTCGGAGCTCTGCCGGAAGCCGGAAGAAATGGCAGACGCCCTCGCCGTGCATGAAGTCGATCATGCGGCTGTTTTCGTGTCTGGATTCGTCGATCTCTCGATTCTCGTGGTCCTCTCCGTGAGGTTCCTCAACCGCTTTGACGGCGAAGCCTTCGGGTGGAAGTGCTTGCTCCGCCATGTCGAGGCTGTCGAGGCTGTCGTTGTTGTCGGTGGTGGGAAAAGGTTGGCTGGGTCGGGGGTGAGGGCGTTTGTATAGGCACCTGGAGGGAAGGGAAGGAGTAGGTGGCTTCACATGTACCACAATGACGATGTGAGGTGGCGTGCCATGTGAAAGGTGTTAAGTGTTAGTTGACCTGGTAATGATGGGCCGGCGCGGGCTCATGCATGCGGAGCACGCTTTTATACCAGTGTTCCCAGCCCAGAGACCAATCGTAGGCCTGAGGAAGCCTGCCTGTGCTACGATCGCTCCCTCGTGCCCTCTTCGGTCCTTCGGTTTGTGATATTATATAGGCGAAGGATAATTTGACCGCCCCCTTTAGGTATTTTGACCACCCTCTTCCGCCTACCAGCTTCGGTAGTATCCGGCAGAAAAGAAGTAAAGGATTAGTTACTCTACGGCAACAGGCAGGAAGTTGGTAACACAAACATGTAACCTAACTCTACCTACTAATATAACCAGGCGCAACAGAAGTTAAATATGCGAGAAAAGCATGCGGGGATTAATAACGCAGTAGTAGCAGGCTTAGTAGGAGATATAGGCACAAACTAGGCAGTATAAGGTACAAAATTGCTCGGGTTAGTTATCACGCGGGGCGGTTAAAATATCCAAGAGGGGCGGTCAAATTATCCGTCCCTATTATATATGGTTTATCTTGTAAACATCTCGCTACATGCTGGTGTCAGTAAGGTATGTCTTTCTCAGGTATGAAAGCGTGCGCAGGTAGGAGCGATGATAACTGCACCTGCCTGCCTTGAATGCCATGGACACTTTTCCGTCCAAGTACAAAGCAAAACCGAACACTCACATCACAAGCACAAGCGCACAACCACCCAAGTGAGTCAATCATCAATGCATTACCCTCTACACCCACTCTACACAAAACTACAGCTACACCACCACCACTACAACCAAGCACCCAGCTAGGTAGGTAGCCACTAGCCACGCAAAGGCATCCAAATCATGACATCATTACCCGGGCCCCATCCATCCGCACTGGACACGGGAGCCCCCCGACCGAACGCCCAACCCCAACGGAAAAAACAACAACAACAACAATGCAACGATGCAACGAGCCAACACCGCAAGCGATGCAAGCGCTCCCGCATGCTCCAGCAAGCCCAAGCCAAGCCAAGCCAAGCCAAGCCAAGCCAAGTAAGCAAGCAAGCAAACCGCCCTTTCCCCCAACCAGCCCACGGCCGTGCCAGACGGCCTGAGCCGAAATGAAGAAGCGGGTAGGTAGGTAGGCAGGTAGGTAGTAGTAAGAGGCATAAAGATATACAACCGAACCAGCAAGGGTAGAGTAGGCAGGGGGGTACGGTACCTAGACCTAGGTGAGGCCCGACCCCCACCCAACCAGCCTCATGGCGACGGCGATGCCCTCCGACGAACGGCATCGAAACAGGACGCCATCGTCATCGAGCACCGCCATCGCCGCTGCTGCTGGACAACAAAGGAAAAAAAAAAAAAAAAGGAAAAAGAAAAGAAAAGAAAAGAAAAAATCTACAAAAGAAATAAAGGAAATACAGGAAATAGAAAAGAAATGTACAACAAAGGGAAGTCAAAGCAAACATCAACAATTAGAAAAGGAAAAAAAAAGGGAAAAAAGAAAAGAAATCGATGCAGTCCGAGACTGCACCCCCCGAGTCGACACCACAATAATGAAAGGGAAAAATCTCTACAGGTAAGCATACTCGTGACCGCTGCCACTGCTGCCAGTGGGGTCGAAGACCTGCTGGTGCTGGTGCTGGAGCTGCTGGTGCTGATGCTGCTGCTGCTGCTGCGCCGCCTCATCAAACGGCATCTGCATCTGCATCTGCAAGCCCATGCCCAACAAAGCCGGGTCCGCATACGCAGCCATGACGTCGCCGAAGCCTGCCGTGTCGACAGAAGAAGCAGCAACGGCAGCGGCAGACGACGCGTCCGGATACGCAGAGAGGTCGATAGCGGTAGAGGCCGACGAGCCGGCCGGCGCCACAAGCGCGAGCGCCTCGTCCTGCAGCGCGGCTTCGTCAGCCGCATCCATGTCCATCTCGACATCGAGGTCGAGATCGGCGTCGCCGTCGCCGTCCTCCTCCGCTTCCAGGTCAATCACCTCGCACTGCAGCGGCAGCGGCTGCACCGTGCTGGCGCTGCTGCTGCTGGCGCTGCTGCTGACACTGCCACTGCCACTCACGACCGCGTTTTCGGGCACAAACTCCTCGACCTCCTTCATCCAGTACGTCTTCAGCACGTCCATGGGCGGGTGATCTCCACCGCCCTTGCCGCCGCGGCGCTCGTCGCCCTTGGCCTTGCGCCCGCGCTTGCGGGGGTTGAAGTGGGCGCGCCGCAGGTGCGCCGCCGCGTTGTAGTAGGCGCCGTACTTTTTGCCGTTGCGGCACGCCTTGCAGTTGGACAGGAAGCGCTGGCCCGCCGACGCGTCGACCGTCACCCACACCTTGCGGATGGCGCTGTGCACGCGCTCCGTGTGGCGGCGCAGCTCGTGCTCGCCGCGGAAGCCCTCCGGGTGCTCGTTGCACTGCTGGCACATGATCTTGGGGTGCACGGGCCGTATGTACGGCGCTTTGGAGATGGCGGCCACAGACTTGGTCGTGCCGTCGGTTGTGGGCACGCGCACGAGCGTCGCCGACGTCGAGGGTGTCGCAGTGTGCGCAGATCCCGTCGCGCCGCTGGTGTGGGCACGCTCCATTTTCGCGCCGGCCTTGGCCGCGACGGGACTGCTGCTGCTGCTGTTGCTGCTGCTGCTGTGGTTGTTGATGGCGTCAGACTTGGGCGCGATAGGGCGCACCTGCTCGACGTGGCGGCGCGCGGGACGAGCCTGCGACACGCCCGCGTCGGCCGTGGCGCTCTCGAGCGAGGTCGAGCGCGCCATGCTGGTCTGAAGAGAAAAGTGCACAGACGGCGCACTCGTGACGAGAGGAGAAACAGAAGGAACAGAAGACGAAGAAGAGGAATTTGACTGAGTAGGAAAAGCCACTGGTGCACCACCAGTAGAAGAAGACATAGGAAACAAGGAAACTTGCTCGTTTATTGCCAAGCCCCCCTGGGGGGCCTTGCCAATAGACGGCGACGCAGAAAAGAAATAATCATCTTGGAAGACGGAGTCAGAGACGTTCGAGTAGTTGGACTGGACGCGCATCATGTCAAAGGCGGAAGCGAAATAGGTGCTGCTGCTGCTCTGGCGGCTCATGCTGTCACTGGCGAGCGTAGAACCCACCGTCATGTCGCCGATGGAGGTGCTGGGCGAGACGGAGCCGTCAGCAGTGCTCCAGGAGCGGTGGTGCAGCGAGGGGGGCAGGCAGGCGGCGGCGGCAACGGCGGCGGCGTCGTGCGAGAAGGCGTCGAGGTGCGTGGGCAGGCTGGCCGGGGCGGCGCCGTCGAACGTGGCGATGTACTCGGAGGGGTCGTCGAAGACCTCGACTTCGTTGAGGCGCGGCATGGGTTGGCGCAGGGAGCGGTTCCGGTTGAGCCCCGGCCGCGAGCTGAGCGTGTACGACGCTGCGGGCCAATCGAGGGGTTGCTGCTGCTGGTGATGCTGGTGCTGGTGCTGGTACTGCTGCTGCTGGTGCTGGTGCTGCTGCTGGTGGAATTGCTGCTGCTGGTCCAGGCGGTGCTGCGTCAGGAACTCGCTCGAGGGGAGGTGGTTGCCGCGCGGGACGTCGATGGGGAACGACGACGAGGCCATCATGGGGGCGGAGTGGAGGGAGAGGTCCTGGCTGCGGGACATGGCCAAGGGGACGTCGAACTAGAAGGCGGGGGGTCGCGTTAGATGACAGGGCACTGGCAAGGGAGGAAGGAGGAGACCAAAAAAGAACCAAAATCGGACGGATTGGGTTGGGTGAGTCGTACGGAAGTGGTGGCCGGATTGTAGGACAGGGTCCGGGGCGTCGTGTGTGCGGCCTGCACATTGTTGGCAAAGGCGTGGGCCTCGTCGGCGTGGATGAAGGAGGCGAGCTCGGCCTTGCGCTGGGTCCAGAGGAGTTCGCGGTCGTGGTCGGACAAGTGCTGATTCCTCTCCCAGACGGACTGGCGTTCGCGCTGGAAGATCTGGAGGAAGGGATCAGTGGAGTCGAGGAGCGGGCCCGCCATTGAAAGAAGGTGGGCGGCGTTTGGGCGGCGGCGGCGCGTGTGGTGAGTGAGGCTGTAGGCAGCGATCAGCATATGCCGGGCGTGGAAGCACGACAGACGACGTACGGCAACGATGGGCGTCAGGTGGATGTGTAGTTGGTGGTGGTGGTGGTGATGATTGTGTTCTGTCGGGTAAGCAAAGTGGGCTAAGGATGGGAGAGAGATCGAGTCGAGTCGAGTGTTTGACGGGGCAAGGGCGGGCCCTTTTGATGCAAGCCGGCGCGCGGCCGGATGAGCTGGCACCGGCGCAGCATGGGGTCGCCTTGTTGCACGCCGCCATTGGCCGCCTCGCCTTCAGTCCCCCGCGGATGCGCTTGATGCGAAGCAAGCATTCCTTGCACTGCTGGACGTCTTGTTCCCATTCATCCATCAACCGTAGTTTCTCGCTGCCCAACCTGCCGTCTCTCTCTCTCTCTCTCTCTCTCTCTCTCTCTCTCTCTCTCTCTCTCTCTCACCGGTGCACTGCACTGCGCACTTACACAGCCATCACCATTCCCCTCCCCCCAGCACTCTCCAACCACTACGAAAGCTACTCTCTCCCAAACGCCGTCTCACCGAAATTTGAGCCGCTGCCCAGGCCGATCGCTAACCCAGTCGGATCCCGAAGCGGGCAGCCGGTCACGTGCTTTTAAATTGACAGCAGAAACGCGCCAAGAGGTGCTGTGCTTGCTTTGCTGATGATGATGAGTGGGCTTGCTTTGCTTTGCTTTGCTTTGCTACGCGCTAGAGGACGACGACGACGACGACTAACAAAAGAAAGGACCAGGACCAGGACCAGACCAGGGTCGTCAGCGGCGGGCGTCTCGTCTCGTCTCATCTCTCTTCCATCCTCCCAACGTCGTCAGTGGTAGGTAGTCCGTGTCCGTCGTCGGCGGGCGTGAAACGCGAGTCGCGTCGCTCGGCCGTTGGTGGAAATTGATGACTCGCGCGCTAAGAAACCCTATGTCCCACCCCCAATTATTCCATCTCATCAATCAGCAGCGCCGGCCACCACTTTCCCACTCATGAGAGAGAAAAGCTACCTACTCCTGAATCCTCGTTGAGCTTGGACTGCGCACCCTCCGTCCTCGTCATCGCCGCTTTGTTGCGTCATTCTCGTACGAACTGCGGCTGCCTAATCTCGTCCTGTAGCGAGATTGTCCACCGGCTATCCCATTCGCTTCCAGACAGTGTTGGCGCTATTTTTTCTTTTTTGGGCGGGTAGAGGTTTTTTTGCTTTTTGGGCGTTTCTGGGCGCGCTTCTCACCAGCGTTTCAGTGTGTCAGGTAGATGTGATAGGTATTGTATGTGGTGGTGATGTGTCCCTTCTCTCTTACACTTCTCTCTCTTCCTTCGTGCCCCGCACCATCTGGTATCTCGAAATAACGAAACAAAAGAAATTCCCCGAAACGAAGGTCCCACCCATCCCAAGCAAAAAGAAAATCTAAACGGCCCTCTGCCCCCTTTCCCCACCCCCATTCCCCTCTCCCCTCGCCCCTCCCCACTGCCACCCCACTCCGTCCGTCAGGCACTCCATCGGAAACCGAACATACTGCGAGCAGAGAGAAAGAGACCGACAAGATTAAAAAAGAAATGGAGACGAAAAGAAAATTATTGAGGGAAAAAAAGGAAAACCAAGGAATGAGACAAAAATGACTGGTTCAGATTATGCTCCCCCCGCTTAGCAGCAATCGCTTCAGCCGCGCCGTGCTCCCCTTCTGCGCCGACTTGCCCCTCGCCCTCTCGCGCTCCGACCTGGTCGTCTCTCCACTCGCCCGCACCGGGCTGTCCATCGGCAATGGGCTGCCCAAGTCCGCGCTGACCCTGTTGCCAATGCTGCTTGTCTGCAGCGCCGCCAGACGCGACAAGCCCCTCACGACCGACGGGGTGCCCATGGGCGTCTCGAGTGCTTCGTCGCCGCCCTTGGCCCGCAGCGGCCGCGCCCCGTTCTCGCGCCAGAACTCGTCGACGCCGCTGCGCGCACCCCCGACGCCCAGCTCGCCAAAATACGACACCAGGTCGTCGAGGACGGCTTCGTCGCTGGGCCGCCGCACGCCTGCCGCTCCCGTCGCCGTGTCGTAGGCGTCGAGCCCCGCGACCCCGGTGCAGCTCGCCCGCCGTGGCGAGTCGATCCGTATCGGCCCTGACAGGTACACGGTGCGCTGCCATGCCGTCTGCTCGGGCGGGATCAGCGTCACGACGGAGCCGTTGCGCAGGCGCATGCGCGTCGTGCTGCGGCTGCTCGACGAGTTGCTGCCGGAGGAGCGGCGCCCTGCGGCCGTGCGGCCGATGTATGGCGTCGAGGCTCGGCGGCGGGCAGAAGGGCTATCACCAGTATCAAAATCTGCCAAGAGGGCAAGCGAATTGAGGTCCATGGCAATGGGACTAATGGGGAAAGGCGAGGCGTTGAGCTTGGCATCGGCGGTGGAGAGAGGCTGCAGCGCGGTCCTCGGAGGTACGAGCCGAGTGGGCGAGACGGCGGAGCTGGAGGAACTCCGCCGCCTGCTAATTGGGGTGGTTGAGGAGTAGGATGGCGTCGAGGCCGCTCGCCCCGGATGGTACAGCTCCATGGGAGTAGCCTGCATGCTTGCGGGGGTGTCCGGAAGCATCTTTTCGCGGAAGTCGACGATATGGTTCATCTGCAGGGCCTCGATGCGCCTCGCTTGAAAGCTCGTCTTGGCTCTCGGACGCGCCGAAAAGCCTGGGCCCGGTTCGTCCAGCCGACTGCCGTGGTTCAGCGATGCCTGGTCGGGGGCATCGGTGCTACGGCCCCGCTTCACGTCGACGACCGTCGCTCTAGCGCTGATGGCCCGACGCGGCCGCTCAATCAAGACGTCTCCCAATCCTTCAACTCTTAGCACTGCCGCTGGAGCAGTGTCCGTCTTGCGATGGTGCACTGGCCGCCTGCTGTCGCTCCTGGCGCCGGCCGCGGCGTAGTCGTCACCATTTCCCTCCCTCCCGCTGCCGCTGCCGAGGCTCGTGCTGCTATCGCGCCGGCTGGGAGCTCGGGCCCCGGGTTTGGTCACCCTCGAGGGCATTTGACTGCGGGGACTCGTCATGCTACTGCGTCGGCTAGCGGTTCCTGTTCGTCGAGAGATAGGAGAGCCCGTCGAGATGCTGTCTCGGCGGGGAGACGTTCGCGTTGAATCGTCGAGCGTAAGTCTTGAGAGGGCAGAAGGAAGCGCGTTGTTGATGGCATGAGCTGGCAGCGATGGCGGAGGACTGGTTGGCGTAGGCGGCAGAGGTAAGTGGTGTCCCCGTTGGTAGTGCTCAAAGGAATGTTGTTGTGCGTGATTGCTGTAAGACCTGTCTCGCTGAGAGGACCAGAAGCCCGGGATGCTGGGAGGCGGCGTCACCGGGGTGCGACGGCTTTGGTGTTGCGAGTGGGACTGTTGGAAGCTGTTGTTGGAAGACATGGTCTTGTCGCGTTGTGTGATTATTTTTTGTGGGTGTGGTGGCGGTTTGTGTGTAGTTGGGGGAATCAAGCTGCTCAGCAAGGTAGGTAACCTCTAATAGTGTGGTTGGTTGATACGTATATGTCCAGACTTAAAATGTGTCTAGCCGAGTGAATGTGCTTTGTACAGAGGCACCGGCAGACCCTTCCTTCGTCGCAAAAAAAGCTGCCGCCGGATGTTGCGAGGGAATTGATAGAGTTGCCGAGAGGCGTCGGCACGGTAAAAGGATGAATCCTGAAGGCCAGGAAGTGAGTGTGCCAAAATGAGCTGGCGATGGCACAGGAAAGCGAGTGATGAGGAAAAGCAGAAGACAAGGCGATTGTAGAAGAGAGAGGAAAGTTGCGCGGGCAGCTACAAGAAGACAAGAGAGGTCGACGGCGGCCGTCGTTCCCCCGCTGCCATCCGTTTGCAGCAAGTCGAGCTCCCAACCACCAGCCCGCCATTCCGGCTCCTTCACGATCTCCAACCCGCCTCTCCCACCATCCTGATTGGCCAGTCGGCTTCCGCCGACGCGCCATCGCCCACTGGCGCTCGTCGCCGTGCCGCATCCTGACCTCGACCTCTGCTGATGCACGGCATCACGCAACGCGACGGCGGCTGTGGCTGCCGGCGGTAGGCCCGACTATTGCGTCTCACGACACGGTAAAAGGCACGGTAGAGTAAAAGGCGCAGCGACATGAAAAGCAAGAGTCGTACGAGAAGGGTCTACCCTCCGACTTCAATCATAGGTGCTGGACAGCAAGGTCTGCGATACGTCAAGTCCACCTGTTCCTGTCGCTTGTCGGAGCGTCGGGGTCGCGGGCTTGCTGCCGTCGAGAGGGAGAGAGGCTGGGACTTTCTTCCGCCGCCGTCAGTTAGGTGACCGGACCCGGAGCCAAGGGATATTGCTAGACGGAACAAGGCTTGGCAGATGCTTGGCCTGTCCGGAAGGGTGGATTTCTCGGCGGGCCGCCTGCGTGGGGCCCAGATTTCAGACAAGTCGCTGCTTGCGGTTGATGTTAGCCGTCATGCGGAGGCGGATCTGGGGAATGGGGGTCCTTTGTCCGGCCTTAGCTGGAATGGATCGACGCGCGCGGCCAATTGCCTTGAGAATTCAATAGTCTTTTCTTGGGCAGGCTCAGGGCCTCCATTCTTACTATCTATGCTAAACGCTATCAAGGGTGTGAACGCCTCGCTATGCATGCTGGTGGAATCGACAGCCGAAATGCATCCGCCTATACGCTGTGAGTAAAAAAAAAAAAAAAAGACGGCAGCAACGATAAAAGAAGCATCGCTAGTACGCGCAATTAAGGTAATGGTGCTTTTCGGTCATTATGCTCGCTAAAAGACTTCTTGGGCCTTTCGCGGGGTGGCGTTCAATAGCGCCTGAAGTGCGGATTTCTGGCCAGTGGAATTCCCAGAGTCAGCTCTCTCCCTCGCTTTCTCCGTCATTGTGACCACTTGAGCCGTGGCCTGATAGGGATCTGTCATAACAATCGTTCCAGGAGACACTGGCCGTGTGGAAATGACGTCGATGTGCTGCACGACGGCTGCCGCCTGTTTAGTTGGTGACAGCGCTGCAAGGCTGGGGGACGCTTGCTTTCGAGGCCGCTCAAATGGGTCCAGAGGCGATCTCCAGATACCGTTAGGAGACGGTGAATCCGGCAACGTATGTAGTAAATGAACATCCGTTACTGATCCTTTGATAGGGGTCAGATCAATGGACGTTGTCGATGTATCCCGGGATAGCGTTGAGGATGTCGTCTTGCTCTGCAACGACTCCCGAGACGAGCACGAGCGCAGAGTCGCTCGGCATTGGCGAGGAGTGATGACTCTTCTTCTCGTGGCCGCGGTCGGAACCCGACGCTTGTAGTTCTTGGCGGGCATCTCTAACCGCGGTGTTGAACCAGTTGAGTTTGAATCCGGCGGAGTGTTCAACCCGTTGTCCTGTTGCTGAGGCCTCGCGGGTATTGTGGAACGGGATGGATCTGATGATGGAGGTGTGAAAGCATCTGCTGGAGGCTTCTGTTTCAGGTCAGGTAGCGCTGCGGTAGGTCCAGACGGTTCAGCCTTGGATGGCTTGCGGACAAAGGACTTCATCCGCTTCAACTTGCCTACAACACTGCCCAAACTGGCAACCGCAACAGACCCGGAGTCTTCTGATGCCGACAAAGGTGTCGACACTTGGATGCGATACTCCTCTGGGGGCTGGCGACGAGTCCGGTTGTATGGGACAGTGCGGTTGAGCAGGCCAGATGCGGGAGGCAAGTCGAATTCTGCTTGTGCACGCGCTTCTTGGGATTCCGCCATAGTAGAATCTTGTTCTTGCATCTTGCTTTGTACCCAGTGTGGGGGAAGAGTGCCTAACGGGTTGTAGTTGTCGGAATGGGCGTTGGTGTAGCGCCGCAGGTGAGTGTGGTCTCGTCCTCCTTTTCTTGTCAAGTCGCGCGGCTTTCCCACATCCCAGTTGTTTAGATGGTCTAGTTTCTTTTCGCGTTCGAGATGATGCGAAGGAGCAATGTGTTCGGTGGACTTGCGAACGACATTCGGGAATGGAAACCAAGCCTCGTTTCCCCTCGGAACGAATCCCGAAGCGGCCTCGAACCTTGTGTTGCGGATGTCATGTAGAGTTTCGGCGGCCTTGGAGTACAGTTCTTCCCATGAGCGTAGGTTGGAGGTGTCTATGGCAGGGGCAAAGTCTCGAGGGATGTTTTCAACGCACAACACGGGCCATTCGGAGGTGAGGTCGCGGAAACGTTCAACTTCGTGATTGTCTAGTACGACGCTGAAGCCCTTGTGGAAATTTAGGCGATCGGAATGGTCCATGTAGCGGCGGTCGTAGACTGATTCGACAAACAGCCAGATTTCGCGCCTGCTCATGGTGCTGATGGTGCGTAGGTTATTGTTGTATGCCCAGATTACCTTGACATCGCTCTTGTCGCGAGCGCGCAAGTAAGTGGCATATTGAGTCTTGGCCTTGACAATAAGATCTCGGAGAAGAGCTTGGCTTTCCTTGGACATTTGCAAAGCCCATTTGGGGCCGTCGGTGCCTTGGCGGAGGGTGAGAAGAAGTTTGGACAAGGCGACATTGGTCATGGGACGAGCGATGTAGTCGGCGAGAGTGCGCGGAGCGGCGGCATGGACCGCATCCACAGCCACGGTCAGAGCGTTGAGCAGTTCCTGCCTGCTAACGGAAGACCTAAGGACGGTTAGCGGAGGTAGGGCGGCAAGGAGCAGCGCGGAGGGACCAACATGGCGTAAGGAGCGCAGTACGGTGGAGGTTATATGCAGTGGTCAAAAGGAGAGCCGTTCGAGCATGGTGAGACAGAGTGGTGCGAGACGGGGAGTTGCAGATCCAGACGCGAGGCAAGTGAAGTGAAATAGTTTGAGAGTGACAACGTCGGGGCGAAGAGCCGAGAGTATCGCGGGCTACGATTCGACGGATCCGTGGTACAGCTGCGGGCGGAGGGAGAGGAATGTCGCCAGAGGACTATTTCCGCGAGTGCAGGGCGCGCATTCAGCGACGGTCAGAGGCATAAGTGGTGGCCATTCCTAGGGCCCAAAAGCGGCGGCGCGGGCCACGGCGAAATAGACGATGGTGGGCATGACGCACAGGTGCCCGCAGAGCATCAAGGCCACCCGGTAACGTGGAAGGCAATAAGGGTATCTACGGTCGAGGCTTCCGCTCCCTCTCTCTGCTTCAGGCCTAGCCATCCAGCCCCGCCAAGCCTCCGCCCTCGCCTTGTCACGGATATTCCGAGGACTCTAGAGTTAGAATGAGACAATTGATTGCATGCTGCTTCTGCTGCTGCCCGCCTCCGCGACGCCGACCTTCGCGATTTCGCATGACGCGTTGGATCGGCGCTGTGGAGAGTTGCCTGTGGGGAACCGCCAAAGCGCCCACTGCACCTTGGCCAGCTTCCTCCCATCGCACGTCCTTTCTTCGCCCCATGCGCTGCCTCTAACCTCTGCAGATCCGGGGACACCTACGTACCCCAGCAAGTGCAAGCGTGCGCGGGGAGAACAAGCGGGGAGATATCCACTGCGCCGTTGCTGTTGGGAGGCTGCCCAAACGTGACGTACCCACCTGGTGTCAGATCCGTGATCGCCCTGGCCCTTGGCCCCATCACGCGGCAAAACCCCGATTGGATTGCGGGCCTTCCCTTGACGAAATCTCTCCCCCACAACCCACGATCGTGGCCATCGCGCCACTCAAGCTTCACCTTCCTTCGTGCCCGAGTGACCCCCGAATCTCACCACCACCATGCCCACTCTCAAGCAGATCACCTGCCACATTGAGCTCTCGCCCTCAAACGCCAGCCTGCGCGAGTACGACTGCACCTACGACGATGGCTTCGTCGATGCCCTTGTCGCCATCCCCGATGAGCCTGCTGCCTTTTGTGTGCACTTGAAGTCGTCCGGCTATATCGCGCCTGGGCTAGCCATGTTTGTCTTCAAAGACGGCGTCTATCAGTGCAACCGCAACAAGATAGGCCTAAGGATTCCGACCGCTGATACCCCAGCCTACCTTACCGATGTCGAATTTCGCGTGCGCCAAAAGGAGGATAGGCAAGGGGGGCAGCGCTTTATTGGTCGGGATTGGTGCTTCGAGAAGCTCAACGGCGGTAAGTTGCACGCTTTTGTTCCTGGTATGTGAAATGAAATAATTAACGTCAACAGTATCGGCTGATGCGGCTTCCGTCAAAGACAACTCTGACAACGTCGGCTTCATCGAGGTGGTTGTCCTACGCTGTAACGACAAATACCCTGACATACTGCTGCATCTCCGACGGAATTCCTCCACGACAGCAATGCAAATGAGTGATGATCCCGCTGACATTAGTGGTTTTTACGACGGTCCTAGAGACGACCAACGCTACGGCGCTCGTTATGACGGGAATTTCAATGAAAGGCACAGGCCATACTACTATGGTCAAAGGCCCTATGACAACGAGGATCTCCCCTTTCATTCTCCCGAGTCGCACATGAGACCACAGCCGCCAACTTACAGTAGAGGTTACTCCTATGAGGCCAGACGCCGTCGGTTTGAACGTGCCCCCGACGACAGGCACATGCCCCAAGAGCCGGCTTCTAGAGACGAATTCGAAGAATTTATTCGTTGGAGGGATAGCCGTCAATCTCGATCCGGATATGGCACTGGTTTGTCGGAACAGCCCACTAACACTGACTATTATCATGCTGTTCACGGGCAACGTACAAGAGCAACAGCTGATATGCACATCGGAGGTCCGTAACGCAAATCGTGAACCAACACACTAATTTCCCTGACTAGCAATTTCCAGACTATTTTTACTGACTGGTGCGTAGAAGCACAACCACGCCCGCGTGGACTCTCAAATGAAACTAGAATTGAGACCGTTCTGGATACACCTCGCCCTCACTACGCGCAACCAGCAAGTTCCAATCGTGCCCAGCCGCCAAGCTCTAGGAGGAGGTTGCCACCGATTTCGCCGTTGATCAGCCGTGTAACCCCCACGCCGATGCCACGTTTTAGGGGACTTGGTAATCCCAATGCGTTGGCCGCTTTGGTACACCAAGAGACTAGTGTACCAGAAACCGAGTCGACTCTCTCCGAGATTAACCGACGGCCTCGAGAAGCTTCTAACCACTCGTCTCATTATGCGCCAGCGAGCGCCATAGACCCTGGCCATAGCACCATTCTCGGCACGTCTCAGGTACGTAGCGTTACATGGGATGACAAGTTCCTTCCCAGAGGTTTCAAGGGTTCAAAATCTATTGATGTCGCCAAGAAAAACAAACGCTACCAGAATGATGAAGAACTATCGTCAATTCCGGGTTTCGAAGACGTCACTTCGTTCGGCAAGGATCGGTCTGTAACCCCCTATAGATCACAAGTTGTCAGGGACTCTGCTCGTAATCAGAGTACACACGCTTCGAGCAAGCCTTTCTACCTCGAGCCCCAACATGACAACAAAGACATCGTTATCCACAGCGGCAGAAGGATGCCTGGAGCATGGAGCGACTCCGAAATTGCTGAAATGAGGCAAAAAGACGACAAAAGTATCCTAAACGAGGGCAAGGCTGCTGCTACTGATCAAGGTAAAAACCAAAGCCAAGAAAATCGGAACAAAGAAGCTAGCAAAGGAACTGCAAGCCATGCCCAAGATGAACCGAAGCAACAGCCTGCAAGCCAAACACAGCAGGGCGGTGGTGCTAGTGTGGCGCGCTCGATTAAGCTCGGCAATGGACCGAACACCGGCGAAAAGCAACCTTCCAAGCCTGCCTCAAGAGTATCTTCAAAGGCGCCTTCTAAGAGGGCAAAGGATACTTGTAGCGGAAATGCTCCGAACGCCGACGGTGATGGCGGTTGGGATTCTGTGAAGAACGATACAAAGCCAACTGATGAGCAGAACGCTCAGGGCAATACTGGATGGGGAGATGCCACCGGCACCTGGAGCAACGATACAAAGTCAACTAACGAGCAGAGCACACAAGACATTGCTAATGGCTTGGGAGATACTACTGGCTGGGGAGACACTGCTGGAGCAGAGAACTCAGCTGAACAGCCAGGTTGGGACACCCAAGACAATGACCAGCAGAACAATACCGATAATGCTTTTGGATGGAATGATGATGATACCAACACCAAAGCTGGGGCTGACACGAAATCGGATGAAAAAAACGAAGCTAACGTTCCTTCAAATGGCAACTGGAACAACGCAAGCTGGAACGCAGATAATGGTGGCAATAGCGCTAATGATAATGGAGCAGGGTGGGACCAAGTTGCAACTACCAACAGCGATCCTGCCAAGATGACCAAAATTATTGACGCTACAGACAATGGCCAGAAGAAAACTTCAGACAATGCTAATTCTGGCAATGCGGCCACTACGAACAACAATAACACAACAAACAATGTCCAAGACAGTTCAGCTCAACCACCCACGTCCAAACCCAAGCAGGAAGAGACAAAGCCGACTCGTTCGCGCAAATCAGTCTCCGCTAAATCGGTCCCTGATAGGTACAAGAGATCCACGTCTTATACGTCAGGACCGACGCCTATCCAACAAAGCTTTGTCAAATCATACTGGAGTCAATGGAACGCTCCTCCTTCGAATGCTGACCTTTCTAATGCTGAAGAGAAGTTAGGCAAGGGGACTGAGTACAGGCATGAATGCGAGAAGCCCCCATATATTGACACGCTGGATAAGCCGTACGCAGTGTTCATGTTTCATTTCCTAAACAAGGAGGAGCTGAGCCAGATGTTGGGTATCGAGGTTGAAGTTCAAGAAGGAGAGGCCGAGGAGGCCGCGAAGGCGGAGATGATGAACCTTAGCAAGGAAGAGTTGGTGAAGGCGCTTCTCAAGGCAAAGGTATGTGCACAAAACCTCGTAGTAGGAAGCATTTGCTGACTTGGACACTAGGCGCAGCCGGTTGAGAAGGAGAATTCTCCTGCACCTGCTAAAACTAGCAGTGATTCGGGCGAGAAACCTCAGGTGCGCCGTCAACCTAGCCCTGCTTCAGTCCAGAAATCGGAAGAGAACCAGAAGGACTCGGGTAAGGATCCACAGACCAGTCAACCAACCTGGGACCAGAAACCTCAAACCGACCAACAGAATTCGGATAAGAAGTCTCAAGCCAGTCAACCGGACTGGGACAAGAAGTCACAAGGAAATCAGCAGACTCAAAACCAGAACGAGAAGGCCCAAGCTACAGGTACAACTCCAACTCCAACTCCATTTGCAGACACGCAGGCTGCGCCTGCTGCGGAAGAAGAAGACGAGCCCATGACTTGCGACCACTGCAGCGACAATCTCGGCCTCACTTGGTACCATTGCGATATTTGCAATGCACCTGATGGCGGCTACGATGTCTGCATGCTTTGTTCCAACAAAGGCAAGCGCTGCAAGGATAGCAGTCACGTTCTCGACGAGTGGATGGAGAACAAGGATACCAAAGTCCCTGGACCTACAGGTTTGAAGCTCGCTGTGGTTGCTGACGCCAACACTGCCAACAACAATGCCGGTTGGGATACGGATGCTAACAAGAACGACGGTGGAAACACTGGCGGTGACTGGGCTAACGTTGACACCACTAACAACAACGACAGCGGCTGGGACACGGGCGCTAACAATGGCGACAGCGGGAACAATGATGCCGGCTGGGGCAACAACGACACGAACAATGACAATACCGACTGGAATGCTGATACTAACAACAACGATAGCGGAAACACTGGTGGTGCTGGCTGGGACACCAACAACAACGCCGGTTGGGATGCAGATGCTAACAAGAACGAGACTGGAAACTCTGCTGGTGAAGGCTGGGTTGACGTGGCAGGAACTGGCTGGGACTAGTCTAAATAGAGTAGTCGATACAACCGGTGTGAAGACCGGATGGTAAGGGGCGGCGGTCAGTCAGGGTTTTTCTCGAGAGGGAAGTCTTGCTAGATCTTGCTCTTTTCCTTTCTCTTTCTCAAGATTGACATGCATGCGAGGTTGTGTCACGGCAGGTAGGGGTAGCTAAGCTAGTCTTCTCTACGAAAATACTACTGGGGGTTCTTTTGCTTTCTTCTGGCTTGCTTCTAGTCGGTCCATCTGATCTCTGATCTCTGATCCAGATGAATATTCTAGTGCAAAAACAGACCCGTGCCGAGGACATACATACATAGTCGTACATACACCCGCCTTGACTCGACTCGACTCGACTCGATGCACCAACCAACCGACCAGTAGGCCACACGCAGTGGAGTGGGGTGGGGTGGCGGTTGAACCCGCTCGGGCGGGCGGAAAAAAGCACCAAGATAGCTACTCGTACGTACTCGTATGTGGTAGAGTAGCGTTGAGTAGAGCAGTGGCGGCCACGTTCCTCGTTCCTCGTTCCATGTCCCACGTTTCTCTGCCGGCGATGCACGGGCAGATACGAGTAGAGTAGATGGGCGGGAACACTGCCGACGCGGTGGTGGTGGAGGTGTCGATGCCGATGCCGCTACTCCTACGAGTAAGGTAGGTACTATTCATACTCGTACTAGAGCGGAGTTGGTAGAAGCAGTACTCTAGAGCAGGTTACGAGGGTATGGCAGAGTAGAGTAGCAGTAGGGTACTCTAGGCAGCGGCGATCGCGCGCGCCGCTTCTCCCCGGAGCTGCTTGCTGGCGTCAAGGCGGCGGCGCGGCAGATACACCACGACGACGACGACGACGACGACGATGATGATGATGACGGCGATGATGATGACGGCGATGATGATGACGGCGATGATGCAGGCAGGCAGGCAGGCAGGCAGGCCACGCACGCACGCACACCGCACATCTCTTTGCGCGGATCGGCCGATCCGCAGATCTACACACGTATCTGCAGCCGAGCCATCATGCATGCACGCCTGCACGCCTGCACGCGCACGCGCTCGCTCGCCGATCTCGCGGCGCGGCTTGGCGGCGTGGTGGCTGGCTGGCTGGCTGCGTGGTGGGGTTGGCATCGTGGGGACGGGACGCAGGAGGCATATCTTGCCGCGAAAGTTAAATACGCGAGCATGCATACTCGTGTGGAGAGTGCTTCTACTCTAGCGGCAGTTGTGGTAGCGGCAGCGGCAGTGGTAGAGCGGTGGTGGTTGGTGGTAGTGTAGGGATACGAGTACTGAGTAGAGCGGTAGCTAGGTAGGGGTAGGGGTAGGGTACTCTACTCGTAGGGACCAGGCCCCTTGGCCCAACAGCTGCAATTGGCTCGTTGTTTGTTCCGGAGCAGCAGGTCGCCACCATGGCCATGGCCACGAACGGTGGTGGTGGTGGCGGCGGCACGGGGCTCCAACGGCGGCTTGAGGTGTGGCGTGCGTAGGTACGACGTAGTGGCGGTTGGCGGCAGCAAGCAGGTACTCCAGTAGCAGTACTCGTATAGGGTATAGGCACGTTGGATTCGAATTCAGTGTCTGCGCGTGGGCTTCTGAGTCGTAGGTAGTTCGTTGGCGCTGCAAGTACGAAAACCGGTGCTGTTTGCGGGCGGCATTGGCATTTCTTACTCTACAGCGGCCCCGTTTGAGTACGTAGGTGTAGAGTAGCACTTTGCGGCGGCGGGGGCGGGCACGCTGGCCGCGGTCTTGCTTTTACTCTAGCTACATAGCTACTCGCTCGTACCCTAGGCAGGAGTTAGCGCACTGGCTACGCGCTGTAGCGTGGGGTGGCGCGGCGCGGGACGGGCGACTATGTAACAACTACCTACCAATTACAGCGGGTGGAAGGAGGCTTGGAGGAGGGATTTGGGCGATGGGCGGGTAGGGCGGCCGTGCGGCGGGCGTGGGTGTGGGTGAGTGGGTCTAACGTCCGTCCGTTGCCGCTCCTGTGGGCTGCGGGGGAAGAGGGACGATGCGATGTCGGAGGGGTTACGTAGGTACGGAGTACGTCTACATACTGAGATGCTGTTGTGAATACCACCGCGCGCCTAGAAGAGATAGTTGGCAGGGTGACTACAACTACTCGTACTTATCGCGCGCCATCACCTCACCTTTTCGCCCAATACCTTGCTTGTGCGGGTTTGCGTCATGCGCGCGCTTGCGGACTCAGCCGTATATAACCAGACGAGCCGGCCGGGCGCGCGGCGCAGCTGCTCGTCCTGCTACTGCTACTACTACTACTCTTCGCGACTGATATTTTCCGCCGCAGCTCTCCATCTCTCTCCAGACCACTCGCCCGCACCGCGCAATGCCGCACAACCAGGACCCGCTAGTGTCGACGGGGCGCGGGGGTACGTCGAGCTACCCCAGCACGCCCTCAACCTCGAGAACGAGCAACGGCTGATACAAAGCGCATCGCGTGAACAGGCGCCGGCAACATCGGCCGCGACCCCACCGTCTACACGGACGGCGAAATCGTGCGCGAGGGCTTCGAGGGCGAGGCCCACGAGCCCGAATACTCGACCGGCCGCGGCGGCGCCGGCAACATCGGCTCGCCGCGCATCATGCCTGCGGCGGGGGAGCGCAGGCGCAGCCAGGACGTCGTGCCTGAGCAGGCGCTGCGGGGCGCGGGGGCGGGGTACGTGTGATTCGACCTCTTGTTTTCGAGTGTTGTTACTGTGCTAACGGGTGCGTTGGTGGTGCAGGTACGATAATTATCATACTGGTGTAGGTTGATGGTGTGGAGGGGTGGTGTTGAGGTTGGTCTGCTAATGCGTGATGATAGCGCGGTGGTGAGGGCAATATCCATAAGGATAAGTATGCTGGGCATAGCGGACCGCCGCACGATAAGTCCAAGGAATCGTTGGGCGATAAGGTCAAGAAGATCTTCCATGCTGATGGCAAGAAGAGCGGGGACGGGACGCCTGGGTCGACGGCTTGAGTGCCAATAAGAGTGGAAGAGAGCTGTGTTGATGGGTAAGGCAGTGTTGGAGCATGGAGAGGTGAGAAGGCCCTGCTGGATTTGCGCTTGTGATGCTTGAGAAGATACCATGGGATAGGCGGTGATGCCACCGACCTTGGTGTTTCGCTTTGGGATGGCTGTGGAATAGAGATGCGTTTTGCGACTGTGAGTTCCTTTTCCGTTGAACATGTTCTACGTGAACATGGCGTCTGCAAGAGAGTACGTGAGGCTCTGCTGCTCTAGCTTCTTTTCCATCAATAGCCATATTTCTTTCGATGCTCATTCTGGGCTTGCTTGGTGAGCGCATAGCGGGGGTGGCTTGCCAGCGGGGAGAGGCGGGGTACATGGGCGGGGCAAGTTTGGTGATGCAAGAGGTTGGTGTTGCCGGAGTTGGCCTGGGGCATTTCGTAGACGGTTTAGTCGCGAGGGGACTGACGATGGACGACCATTCGGAGCATTTCGCGCCCTTTGCTCCTGTTGTTTCTGGGGGGGGGTTATCGCTCTTCAGTCCCCCTCCAAAGACTTCACACGGTCGACATTGTAAGACTCGGGAAGTCTCTCTGGCTTGGGGCAGTTACTGACTGTTTGCTCGTCTTAGTATGGCTTGTAACAAGTAAACGATCGGCCAGGCACCCTCCTCACCTGCTGTGAGTCGTGTCCGGCTCGTCTCGTGTTAGGCCTCAAGATGTTCATCAAGGGGAGCATACCACGAAGCACAGGACAGCCTGCTCCTTCACACCGATGCCATGACGCGTTGGTCTTCTTACCTTGTGAGAACATAATCAGGCAAGCCATTTCAGTCACCAATACCTACTTTTCTTTCACCAACAATCACTCCGTCACCGGCCGTCGCCCGCCCGTGCCCAATTTGTTTCAACAATCATAACAATAACACTTTTTGCTCCTTAAGACCCTCCGTTCTACCACTCCATTCACACCCTTACCTCCGCCGAACCCAAAACTCTCAACAATAGGGCCACTCGTTATACACACCCACAGACACCACCTCTACAACAATGCCTTCCACCACCCGCCACCACATGAAGCGGCACAACCTATTCCCATTCCTCGACCTCCCCGCCGAGCTCCGCAACGAGGTCTACAAGCACCTCTTCCAGCGCCCCAGCAAAAGCTGGATCCACATTTCGTCGTGCGAGTCGCGGGTGACGCACCGAGAGACCGGGCCGTCCAAGACGTGCAAATGCTACGTCTGGACCAGCCGCGACGAGACGTCGTTCCCGCTGCAAGTGCTGCGCACGAACTGCCAGATCCACGACGAGGCTGCCGCGGTGCTCTACGGCTTGAACCGCTTCAGAATGAATACCCACTGCGTGCGCTGCTTCCTCGCGGGCATCGGCCAGTCTGCGCCGTTTGTGCGCCAGCTCAAGCTCTTGGTGCTGAATCCTACTATGGATATGGTGCACTTGTTTGGCACTTCCTCCTCCACCGCCTCCTCCACCGCACCCGCAATCGCGACCACAACCGTCAATGCTACCACAAGCACAGGTCCAGCATACACAATCTTCTCGGACAACATCCTCCTAAACCAACTGACAGTGCAATGGGTCTACCAGCCCGCGAACCCAGACGAAGCCGCAAGATATATCTACGAGAGAATGCTAGGCTGGATCGAGGCTGTCGGTGTCAAGCAAAAGGATCGCTTCGCGGCGCTGGGGTGCATCGTTAATGGGAAGGGGAAGGGGCCGAGTGTTAATGAGGTGAGGGGGGCGTTGAGGAGGCTGATGGAGAGGGAGGTTGGGGACGGGAGTGAGGTCAGTGAGGTGTAATGAGGTGTGATTGGGGGTGGATGGTTTTGGATCATCTGCTTTGGTTGGATTGGGACTTGGATTGCCCATTTGCATTGGATTACCCATTTGGCTTGGGGTTGAGTTTGGCGTGCTGTTTCAAGCACTGGACTGTCTTGGTTGTCCCTGTTCTTGGTAGCTGGTTTGACGCTCAGACTTCTCGAGTTGTTCTTCATTACAGCAACCTGCACAATATATGTAAAGCAGGCAATACTTCGATGTTGGCGCGGTCACTGGTACCAAAGTCTACGAGCCATATCTCCGCTTTGCTAGGTAGTAAGTATTCACTGAAGCTGGACTACTGTGTTTTGGTTTGCCTTGGTATGGTAACGCTTCACTAAACTCTTGGCCTCTTTCCTGCTGCGTGTGAAGCGGAAATAGCAACTTAGCTGGTATACCAAGACTCGTGTGATCTAGCAGTCTTCTATGTCCGATAATAGTCGCGTGGTGCATAATAAAAGATATAAGTATATCTTGTTTAAATGCACATATATTCACTACTTAACTAGTTCGTCCTTTTTCAATTTACTCACGGCGATCTAAACCAAACCCCGACCATGCCTAGAGCGTAACTGTCTTGTGGGGTGGATAGCCGGTCAGTGAGCGATGGTGGCACAGAAGCGTAATGTCGTGAAAGCGCAACAACACAGGAGACGATCGCGTGGCAACAGAGGAAGATATATACAGACAGCTTCTTTACGGTTCTGTTGTTTGTGTCAGGGGCCGAAAATTCCGGGGGAAGTTATAAAAAATTAAAAATAAATCAAAACTAAATAAAACATAAAACATAAAAAATTGAAAAACAACCAATAAAAGTATTAACACCAAACGAACGGATACAGGCATAGCTCTTTAACACATGGAAAAAGTAGAATCAAATTAGTAGAGGCTATGACTTCAGAGAAGGATGCTTACAGCCTTCAAGGGTCATTCCTGAACTGTATAGAGATAAAGGGTGATAAAAACATCAAATATCGCGACACGCTACTACAAGCCAGATCATCGTGATCACTATTTGTTTTTACTTCTAGTTGGCAGCAGAATCGAGCTCACTCGAACGAAAACAAACAATGGACGTCGACAGCAACCGAAGATCAACCACAAGCACCAGCATCCAAGCTTCTCGGAAGCTCGTCCGCGCATCGCAACCCCAAGCACCACACACCACACACAACAACACGAGCACACGCAGCAATTGAAGCACCGCGCACATGCCCACAGCACAGCGCACAAACAGCAACCCTAGCAATCGCGCAGCAAGCACGCAGCAAGCACGCCAACAATGGCCGAGCCAGCACCAGCAGCACCGCCCACTGCCCTCCCAGATGACAGCGAGCAACAGCAGCACGCGGACGCGCAAACAGGCACCAGCAGCGCTCACGCGCCCACCACAAACGGCAGCAGCAGCACAGACGTCGAAATGAAAGAGGAGCCCGCCGAAGTACTTAAAAGCCCCACCCCAGCACTGCTCTGACTCTCTCACCACCCTCTCTCCCAAGAACCCACTTCTGACACCACAACGCACGCGCCCAGACGCCCGCCGCATCCGAGATCCCGCCCGTCGACGAGAGCGCCGCAGCAGCGACCGCGACAGCAGCGACAGTAGCACCAGCAGCAAGCAGCACCACGCCCACCGCGCCCGTGCCCCAAACCACCGCCACCACCGCCGTCGCAGCAGCAGCTCCTTCGATCGCGCCCGCGCCTGCGCCCGCGTCCAATACCACTGCCGCCGCTGCGCCGCCCACTGCGACGCCGCCCCCTCCCTCCGTAACGCCCGTCCCGGCGCCCAGCACGGGCGCAGCACGCGCGACGGGGTCGCCTCGCGCGTCGGCGCCGCCGCCGGCGGCGTTCCCGAAGGAACCGAATCCGCATGGGAGCCCTACGCGGGTGTATTTGAATCAGCATGTCACGCCGCATTTGCTGGAGGGGATGAAGCAGCTGGCGCTTGTCGAGTAGGTGGTTTCTTTCTCATTGTGTTTTGTTTTGGGGTTGGGTGAGGTGAAGTGAGGTGGGGTGGTGTTTGTGGTGCTCATGCTAATGGTTGTGGTGTGCAGGCCCGAGAAGCCGTTGAAGTGGCTGTCAGAGTATCTGGCGCAGAAGAGTAGAGAGGTTGAGGGCGCTTAGGGTTGCCTGCCTAGAAAGACAATAATGGAGCTTGGGCGGTGGGACAGGCGTTGAGGATGGCATGGGATGGTATGGGGTTTGCGGACATAGGGTCATGACAGGATACCCGCCTGTGACGGTTGCATAGCGATGGCGTTCGAATCTGACATGAGCTCTGAGAAGAGCCATGGTTTACCCTCAATATCAGGTCACTGCAAAGAGCAAAACAGGAAACGTGAAATCATTCCCATTTGACATGTACCCCGTAGGATTACTGCCATTGATATTCCGATATGAACCTTGTTGACAGCGCTTTTTCCACCGATGCCTTTTAAGGCAGCCTTTCACGCCGGTAGACCTTTCGTCTATGCATAAAGTCCAACACAGCACATCCTCCACTCCACCAAACCAGCAGCAACGGAACTCGCTTAAGCGACGAGGGTGGAGGCGGTGGCGGACTCGTACCTCCAGGTGGGGGGCAGAGCACCAACGGTCTTGTAGTAGCGGGACAGACGGTGGATACGGGACTCGATGAGAATCAGGCGGAACTTGGAGTCCTTGTCCTTGCGGTTGCGCTCGAGGTGCTTGCGGACCTGGACGCCCTGTGTGCATGTGGAGTTAGCAAACGACGATCAGCACGCTCCATCAGTCTTTTCGACGTACCTTCTTGATAAGCATGTAGAGGTCCTCGGGGATCTCAGGAGCGAGGCCTATCATGATATCACTCCGTCAGTCATTTGGACCAAACAGAGGCATAATTTATGATTGTGCGCCGCGCGTATCCATCTTGCGAACTTCCCAGCCCATTGAGAATTTCACCTCTCCCGGCGCTGTCGAAGTTTGAAGATGCGATACCGCCGTCGACGTGCGCTCATACGGGCTGAACCATACCGTTGGACTTCAAGATACGAAGGATCTTGTTACCTGCAATTCCGTTAGCACGACGCCCTTCATTTTCAGCTTGCGGAACCGTAAAACATACCAGTGACGACCTTGACCTGGGCAACACCGTGGGAGTCGCGGAGGACAACACCGATCTGGGAGGGGGTGGCACCCTTCTTCGCGAGCTTGCAGATCTGGTCAACGACCTGCTCGGGGGTGGTCTTGAGCCACGCGGGGGGAGTGCGCGAGTAGGGGATGGCGGAGGACGAAATGCCCTTTCCCTTGCTGTGAAGGCGACCCATTTTTGCGACTGTCGGTGGTTGTCGTTTGTCGTGGTTGTCGAGCTGAGGTTGGTGTGAGGTTCGAGGATATTTTCAATCGTGGGCTTCGCTTGACGCGCACAGACCATCTCCGCCCTATGCATTTTCTTCAAATTCTTAGCGCTCCTCACCACGCTCCGTCCTTCTCCATCATCATCGGCCGCCATCTGCTGTCAAGACTGTCAAAAGGAACGGTCATGTCGCGTTTTGCCTTGCGCAGTGTGTCTGGCGCTGCATTTGGCGGTACTTGAAGATGTTCGCGCCGCTGCTGTCAGCACCATCGTAAACCTGGGGACAGCCCATGGTTACAGTAACAAGGTATGTTTGAATACTTCTCTCTTCACAGTTCTCTCGCAACATGATGTTTCATTTTGCTTTTTCTGGCACCCCTAGACGGATGGGAAATCTGCTTTCTATAGTATCGCAGCTCTCAAATGTTCGCACTTGACTCTCTGATTGTTGCTTCATTACAAGTCCTTTTTTTCACGCGTTTATGTGGATGACAAACTGACTTGTTGGAATAGGTGGACACTGCGTTGTGATGACTATTGATCGGAATGATCTAGCTATCTCATCTTACGATTCAGCTCTCTCATCTCACTGTCTAGCTACCATCTCGGCAACTTGTTGTCTACTGTTATCCTTTTGTCTCAGGCAAGCTTTGGGCACTCGTCGTGGACACAGGCGCTCAATTCCCGGGCTCGGCCTTGTTACTTCTTGGCAAGCGAAAAGCTAGACAGGGCTATCTGAGACCACTGAACTCTCCTCTGGTGAGGGACTTGGTGGCTCATTTCAAGATGCGGCCATGCTACGAGCAACTCCGTTGTTGACTCCCCCTGGACGTCCTACAGCATTCCTGTGGGACGGTGTATGCTGTTCCAGGGGAAAGAGTCCTTGTGCACTAATAACTCCTCTCGTTAAGAGGGGTCAATCGATGCTTTTCAATTGCGGGGCACTGGATCAACCTGGGGTCCGTCAACGCATCTGCCACGCATCATGTCGTTTTGAGCTTCAAATGCTGTTTTATGATTGGCGAGTATACCTGTGCTGGTATATCAGATTCATGATCAGGCCATGACATCGGACTGATGAGCTGATTGGGCGCCTGGTCCATGCAACCGCTAAACATTGAAACGGCAAACCGCGTTTCCCGTGTCGCTGTGTCTCTTCAAAGTTTCAGATAGGCACATACCAATGGAGATGTGTCACTGTCAGCTTACGGCTGACTGCGTTTCTCCTCCATGACACCAAAAGTATGATGGCAGCTCATGGACTGATACTTCGTACTCCGCGGGGATGTCGTGCTTTGCTCTGCGGCCAAGTCTCAACAGCATCCATTTGCTGCCACCAGCCGACGCCTCGACCGGTCCACTTGGAGGGTGATCCGGTGTACGCTCTGCTCCCTCAGCGACTGGTGTGCAAGGCAGAGTCGCACCTGGAGCTCCTGTCGCTTGCACGATGGCGTACCGAGATAGCACGTGGCGTTTAATTATCCCAATGGCCACGGATGCGGACACGCAGATCAGCCTCTCCACGGGGCACGGCGAGGTTGGAACATGGTCGGAAGCTGTTGGCGCGTGTGCGTCGTGGAACAGCTTCTTGGCCCTACGGCGCCTGGAGCTGAAGACGGCCTGTGGAGCCGCCGGTCGGAACCCTGTGCGACTTGCGGCCTTATTGGGGAATCGGGTTTATAACTGACCTCCCCAATGCGGTAACCGACGTGCGGTTAATAAGTTCCGACATAATTTTGATCGTCTTGCTTGGCGGCGACTTCTGATCCACCCAACTACCCCAAAGGATATGCTGTCACGGCCCGGAAATTGCCAGGCGACGAGTGAGATTGTGCGCTCACGTATGAAGGTACGCGTGCGCTGGAGACGCGGGAAATGGGGCTATGGGGCTGTTATGCGCCTCAAAAGTTTGCGTGGGAGTCGGCATGGGGTGACCCTCAGGGTCCAAGGGCGGGCAAAGCCGACACAGGCTTTTGCCGGTACGTGTGGTTTCGTACGGGATCTCAGATGCAGAGGCTTGCGACTCAAAAAGGCAAAACAGCGGCGGCTGCTAGATCCAGCCGGAGGTGGTTGCACGATGCTGGGCGCTTGGCGAGTAGCTTGGCCTCCCCTGAAGGCTGAGCGCATCGCGATGCATGACGGGCGGAGGCTCAAGCGGTGAGGTGAGTGTCGCGCAGCAGGGTCACACGCATTGGAGGTGTCGCCGCAAATGATAAAGCACAATTGCGGGATGCTCGCGTGGTAGAGGTGTACACTGCCGATTGGCAGAAGCTGACGATCCTTCCTTCCCTAATCTCGCTTCAGGGGCAGTCCGGGTCTTGATCCCTGTTGGCCCCGAGCGTGGTGGCCGGTATGCTCGAAGAGCCCTGGGGGGTTATCATCAAGCGCCTGCCCGCCCCAACTGCTGCTCTCTTCTCGCGCCGCAGCGAAGTCATTCCTTCTCTCCAACACGCTCACTTCAGTCATTCATTCACCCGCTGCCTATCGCTCTCTTTGCCGCTTCACGTGCCTCCACAGCTTCCCTAAACGTTTAGCGCCACAACCTTCCTTATACAGCAAGCGTGCATTCCACCCAAAATGCGCTACAACCTCATTGCCGGGAGCGCCCTTGCTTTGGCCTCGGGCGTCACTGCTCTCTCCAACGGCTGCGCTGATGCTGCTCCCGATGAGAGCGGCAACTACTACTGCGAGCCTGCCGTCAAGACGCTCAAGTACACCGGTGTCGGTGGTACTGGCAGCTACAAGAAGGTTACCAACATTGCTGCCGACGATGTTTGCGAATGGGCCGACCACAACTACTCTGGTTCCCTTGCTCCTTACGATGAGGAGGTGCGTTCTCTTTTCTTTCGAATTGCCAACAGCAGAAACCAACTCATGTCCTTAGATTGCCGTGATCTTCCGTGGTCCGTTCAAGCTTCGCCAATTCGCTGCCTACACCTATGACGGCTCTGCCGATTCTTCCAAGGCCAAGGCCAAGCGCGAGGAGCCGCGCTCAGTCCGTCCCAGCCCCCATGAGCGCCGCCACGCCGGTCACCAGCAGTTCCACAACCACCAGAAGGAAGTGCGCGCTGCCCAAGAGAAGGCTGAGGCTGAGAAGCGCGATGTCGAAGACTGGATTACCGCAACCATCGATGGCGCCGTGGTTTCCTGGGTCAACAACTGGACCGGTCAGACTTCCGCCGCCAACGCCGCTAGCTCTGCCCTTGGCGACGCCGGTGTCAAGGTCGAGGTTGCTGCTGTTACCACCTCTGCTGCTGCCGCCGCTGAGCAGACCGCTGCTCCGTCTACCAGTGCGACTGCCACTGCCACCTCCTCTTCTGATGACTCTACTGCTACCGGTCCTTGGAAGCGCGTTTCCTACTACAACGCCGAGGAGAAGACCAAGGAGGGCCTGACTTTCTTGACTCACCCCGAGTACACCAACACCATTGCTTTCGCTGGTACCGATGGTGTTTCCAAGGCCTCCGAGTCTACCACCTTCGGTGGTGAGCTTGAGAACGGTGACGAGATGTTCATCATGACCGACTCCCCCTGCTCTGAGGATATCGGCACCGAGTGCGCTTACTTCAAGGACGGTGACCAGGCTTTCCGTAAGTTGATTTCGCCGATCTGTTCCTGGAATATTACTGACTTGTGCAGACGGTTTCGGTGGCAACAAGAAGGCTTTCTTCTTCGAGTTCCAGATGCCCGACTCTGGCACCCACGCCACTGTTGGTGAGATGGCTGACAAGTACACGGCTGACAACATGCCCGCCATCTGGACGCTCAACTCCAAGATCCTCAGCAACCAGTACGGCTGCAGCTGCTGGGAGTCTGGCTGCGGTGAGCTTGACATGCTGGAGGTCCTCAACCCCGGTAACTCCCGCATGAAGTCCACCTTCCACGGCAACACTGGCTTCAACGGTGGTGACTCCCACTACATCTCGCGTCCTTTCGACTACTACATGAGCGTCATGGCTGTCTTCCACGAGGACACTTTCGTCATCAAGGTCCTGAACAACGGCACCGAGGCCCCCGACTCCCTCACCCAGGCCTACGTCGATGAGATCACCGGCCACAGCACCAACGCCGTCGAGAACGTTCTCGGCGAGATTGCTGTCTTCGCCATGTCCCTCTTCAACTAAGCGCTTCGGAATGTGGAGGTTGTTATTTTTCTCAGTCATATACCCAGCGACCTGTCCGTAACTGTTGATATTAGCCTGTTCATATATGGTCGTCCATATAGTCGAGAAGGCGAGCGGTGGTATAGTTTTTCGTAGGATGGACAGATCTGGATTTGTATTTAATAGCGCACCGTACATTCTATGAGCGTTCTGCTCGGCTGCCCTCGCTGAAACGGCAACCTTAACGATATGATGACTGGCATTGGACGGGGCTCCTATCATCGGGCTTGCTGGGGGTTTAGCATTTACTGTTTCTGTTGTTGCTGTTGTTGTCGTCAAGTACTTGCTTTGTATAGTCGATCCGTAAATCCTTTTAGGGGCAATTGCCCGTTCCCGTATCAAAGTCGAGTCGTCGAGGTGTTTAATTTTCAAGGCCCCCCAATGACATCGTCATTCTTGTACTCTAACGGGGACTAAAGCAAACCTTAAATTGATTGCGACGAAAGACGTGAAAACCTGGGGTTTTCCGGTTTGTGCGCGAACCGGCTGGAGGGCGAGCCGTGGGTCGCTTCTCGGTGTCGGGCCCGGCTGCCTATCACGGGCTCAAAAGGGAGTCGTGAGCCGAGGCAAACGATCAGCCTCCGTCGGTGACCGTTCGCCAGTTGCGCAGTCACCTTTGCCTAACACCACCGCCAACCTGTCTCTTCTTAGTTGTCTTTATCTTCTGATCCCCCCGCAAACTTCTCTCGTGAGACTGCGCGCGCCCCCATACCGTTCCCACTTGCCGCCCCCGCGTTTTACTTAAAGCCCTTGCCCTCGGCAACACTTCGACCGAAATTCGCCCACCGGCTCTCGGCGCCATCCAGCAGATTGCTTTCTTTGACATCACCTTAAGCGCGCCCGTTCTCTCTCAACCGCCGCTCGTCCGCTGCCATCGGCTCACGACACGCTGAGCTGCCCTGCGTCTGGAGGCCAGGTGCAAGAAGGAATGGCGTCGCCCCCCAAACCCTGGGAAAGAGCAGGAGCAGGAGGCACATCGACCGGTATGCACCACACCGTACCTTCCCGCCGCTCGTATCTCTCCCGTGATCGAGGCGTGCGCAGAGGCCTCAAGACTAATCGCTAACCAACTCACTAGGTGCACCCGCAGCTGCTTCAACGTCTACCGCCACCGCCGCCGGTCCATCATCTACATTGAATCCGCCGGCCCTACCTTCAAGACCTACGTCACTCACCTCGTCCGTGAACCAAAACGCTAGCAACTATTCTGGAATGATGAATCGCTACGGCACCGGCGGCTACAACAGCTACTCGTCGCCGTACTCGCGCATGGGCATGGGCAGCATGTATGGAGGCGGGTATGGCTCCATGTATGGTGGCGGTATGTACGGTGGCGGCGGTTATGGCTCTATGTATGGCGGAGGCATGTACGGCGGCATGGGTGGCATGGGCGGTATGGGTGGCATGCCAGGCGACCCCAATCAGCAGGGTCTGACGCAAAGCTTCAGTCAGAGTACTGCCGCAACATTCCAACTGATTGAAAACATCGTTGGCGCTTTTGGCGGGTTTGCACAGATGCTCGAGAGCACTTACATGGCCACGCATTCATCTTTCTTCGGTAAGTGGTTCGAGTGCGCTTGTGAAAATGGCGCATCACTAACACATTCATGCAGCCATGGTATCCGTCGCTGAACAGTTTGGCAATCTGCGCCAAACTCTTGGCTCTGTCCTGGGAATATTCACAATCATGCGCTGGATACGGACAGCCATCGCCAAGCTGACTGGTCGCCCTCCGCCAGCATCCGGCAGCGAACTTACTCCAACCAATTTCGCCCTATTCGCTGGCAAGAACCCCGACGGCTCTACGGCGCCCCGCCCGTCGAAGAAGCCGTTTATCGTGTTCATGCTCGCGGTTTTCGGTCTGCCCTACCTCATGGGCAAGCTGATCAAGGCTCTTGCCCGTTCACAGGAGGACGAGCAACGTCGTCTCCAGGAAGCAAACCCCATGGGTTACCCTGGTGACGGCCAACAAATCGATCCCAGCAAGCTTGAGTTCTGCCGTGTCGCATACGACTTTACTCCGGACACCAACAACAACGCCGTCCAGGGCGTAGATCTGGCCGTTAAGAAAGGCGATCTGGTCGCTGTGCTGAGCAAGACGGATCCTCTGGGCAACCCGAGCGAATGGTGGAAGTGCCGCAGCAGGGACGGACGCATGGGCTATTTGCCCTCTCCGTACCTGGAGCCGATTCAGCGGAAACAGCCGCAGCAGCAAATCCAGAGCGCAAGCCAGGCTGGTAGCCCAACGGACAGCAGGGCGCACACAATGACGACGGGCAGCCCGGTGGGTACCCGGACGCAGTCTTTGTCGAATGCAAGCGGGGTCCCGCAGAAGGTGCCTGCGAAAGCACCGGAAGTACAGGGAAAGGCGGGTGACATTGGGATTGAGAGTTTCCAGAAGGGCTACTTCAGCTCTTCGTAGGGAGCTGGGAGTAGTGTTACGTGAAGCATGGCATATACCTTTTTGAGCTGACGACCGATTGGTAGTCGCGGGGTTCTGGGAGTAGGTAGTTCAGGTGGTGATGACTTTTTTTTCTCGCTCGGCGTTGGGGCGCTGTCTTTTAAAATCATGAAGATGGCGGATTGGTTGTAGCATATTTTTAGAGGACGAATAAGTGTTCATAGTTAATGGGTCCATTACACGTGACGCGGGGAGACGAGGGGCGTTTGGCCGGTAGGGCTGAGTGGGAAGATGTCATTGCCGCGGGTGCCGATGACTCGCGACGTGGGACTTCCGCAATCGCTCGCAAGACTGAACATCACTGTGTCACGATTGGTCCTCTTGTTTTGCCGAGCAATCTAACCCCAGCTCTTCGTCCGACCAGCTCCGTTGCTTAGCCTCGCCCTCGCGTCACAGAGGGAAACAGCCCCCGGCCCGCCGCTTTCGATCGACTTCATCTAGTCTACACTCACTCTAATGACCATGCTGGCCTCGAAGCGGCTGGCGAAGGTTCGTCGCACACGTTCCGGAGGAGCGTCGATATATATCTGAAGCTAACCGACAGCCCTACTCTAGGAACTCGCCAAGGTACGTGAAGGCTTCCACCCATCCTCTTGCCGTGCGCGCCTGGTTTGGAGCTTTGAACCCTCTGTCATGCCACATCGCGGCCCCTTGCGTTGCATGTAGCGGTCCCAGCGCATGTCTCTGAGCTCGTGCGGTGGCGCCTAGCTAGCTAGCTCTATCTCGCGCTCGTGGACGAACATGCGCGCGCTCTCTCCCGGAAGCAGGTCTTGGGCTCAGGCAGCTAACACGCGGTATTCCTAGATCCATGAGGGCCTTCCGCCAGGCATCGACCTAGTCAAGGCGGATGACTGGGACGAGTGGCTCATGGACATCCGCGTCGTCGATGACAACCCCATCTACCGCGGCGAGACGTACCGCCTAAAGTTCAAGTTCAGCAACAACTACCCCATTGGTGCGTACATGGGTTCTCTCTTTCACAGTCACAACCTCAGGCTCTCCCCGCTCCACCCTCACCACCCCGCTCGGCCCAACCCACACACACCACCAAGCCAAGCCCAAGCCAAGACCTACTGCTTACTTTCAGCAACAACAGAAGCGCCCGAAGTCACGTTCACGACCGCGCCCCCCACCGTCGCAACCATCCCTCTCCACCCCCACATCTATAGCAACGGCATCATCTGCCTCGACCTGCTCGACCGCGCCGGCTGGAGCCCCGTCCACAACGTCCAGAGCGTGTGCGTCAGCATCCAGAGCATGCTCACTGGCAACGTGGTCGCGGAGCGGCCGCCTGGCGACTCCGATTTTGTCAAGCGGAACACACAGAGACCGAAAGACATCAGGTTCGCGTTCCACGACGATACGGTTTAAGGTGGGCATGATTGAGCGGAAAATCGGGGGAGGAGAGCGCTTGCAAGCGGTGGGGGTGGTTGAGTGATGCTGCTTCTGCTGCTGCTACAACCGCGCCGAAGGCGGCAACGGCGGTAGCGTAGTGCAGCGGGATGGGGGCTGCCAGAGACGCGTTTGGCGCCTCGTCTATCTAACTAGACGACGGCGCGTTGCACGCAAGGCATGCATGCATGCATAGCGAGCGGGTCCATCCGCATTTTGTTCACTTCCTCCGCAATCCCCTTGACACACCACGCCCAGCCACCATACCATACACACATACACATACACTAATAGCCAAACCTCTCCACAAAGAAATACACACATCACGAGAAAAGGCACGCGCGTACCCGGGATGCGGCATGCAACGGGCGCGCGGGCTTGCTGGATTGTCAATCAATGCTAGTTGTTAGCGGGGTAGTTCGTTCGTTAGCTGGTTGGGTTGTTAGCTCGTTAGCTGGTTTGGGTACAGACGGATAGGTGGGTAGGCGGATAGGTCGGGCGCGCATTCATTGGCGTGGAGTTAGTGGCGGGGTAATGAATGAATGATTACTTGTCTTGTGGTTCTTTATTTTGTGTTTTTTGTGTCTCGCTCTTTGTTGTGGGCGGGTGTTTGTTGTGTGTCGTTTCTGGTGTCGATCGTTCTTTTTGGATGGGACTAGGGATGGGAGGCTTGTG